AGGATAACTTCATTAATTATATGCTTAAATATGAATGCTGGCTTTGATGCTTTGCATTGTAAGGCATGTTGTTAATCCACGTCTCTTTTAGGCTGAATCATGCTGTCAGGTTTTTAATTGCTTGCTGGTTTTTTGCTCTGTGCCTCAGTTTCCTCCGCTGGATTCTGGGCATAATAATATCCTGGCAGGAGTCCCCACGGGGCAAGGCAGCAGTGATTTTGTACATTGTCAGAGCACAGTGCTGGGTCAATGTGAGGAGCAGCACGTTGCTGCTGTTGAGTTAACAGAGCCAGAGTGAAATGTGCAGGGCAGGATAAGGGATTTCCATCAGAACCCCCCCCGGCACATTGCAGGAGCCCCATCACTCATGCAGGCTGAGGTGGGAGAGAACTTGTGCGTGCCGAGTCCTGGTTGGGATCGGCCGGCCCGTGATCTGAACGTGCAAGTCTAGAGACTTGCACTGAGTAATACGCTTGTACCTTATGGGTTTATGTTCCTAATGGAATGGAGACTATAGCCTGTAAATCTCCCGATCGTAACTCACAGCTAGCGATGCCAGAAAATCCAAGCTCATGGCTTTAAAATCATGAATTACAGAGCTTGGCTGTGTGGCTTTTGTTAGCCAGGTTCTCCCAATGATCTAAATGTTCGGGTCGCTCCATAGGTTTTGTCTGCTGCTGTAAAGTGAGAGTGCAGGTCGAGTGCCGCATGAAGCACAGAAACCCAAGAGTGACTTCATCCTCTAATAACTCCTCCAGTGCTGTCTCCCAGGGAACCCCTTTGTATTCAATTAGCTAATGTGTGCCTAGCACTTTGAAAATATGGAGTGCCATAGAATTGCTAAGTGTTGTTATTTAACAGCACATATTTAGTGGCTGCAGCCCTGTAGTAGAAGTCAGAAAATCTACACTGTAATTGCCTGGTGCTGCTGCCGAATTTGCTGTGATTCGAGCACAGTCTGGGGATTTTTCTTCTGTAAAAGTTAGTTAATTTTGGCTGCAGTCCCTCCAGGCCTACTTTTTCTGAGAGCTCATGAAACGGAATATTGACTTTTGGTGGGTGCTTTAAAAAACAGACTGAAAAGGGAGGGAGGAATTCAGGCAGCCAGGATTTGTGTACCTGAAATTTGCCTTGGCATGATTTTTGATGGTCTTCTTTGTGCCTCAGGTTGCACCAGTTGGCATAAAGGAGCTGGACTGAGATGGAGGTCAAAGTGCTGGTCAACTATTGCAGTTGTTCCAGTGTAGGGAGGGGGAAAAAAAAAATCATTGGCAGTGGAATAGGAGGTAATGAGGGAGATGCTGTTTGCACCCATCTCTTTGATTCGCAGCCTCTTGTATTCACCAGGTACCCTGATCTTGCCTGAAAGTATGTGGTTACAAAGCTGTATTCGTGCAGGCGGAGGAGGCTGGGACAAGGCACGCCAGGGCTTGGAGTCCCCCTTTAAACAGAATCTGCTGACAGGTGTGAGTGATTTTTCCTAATGGCTCCTTGCTCTTAGTGCCTTGGAAAGCTATCTTCTAGCCTGCAAAAGCACCAGCCAGCACTGCAGAGAAGGAAGAGTAACTACACGAGGAGAGGCAGCTATGAAACTATTCTGGTTAAGCACTAGGCCCACCAGCTTTGTCTAGCAGTCAAGGCAAGGTCAAGTGTGTATACCATAGGTGTGCTCAGACTGTTAAAAATTTTTCCTAGCTTAGGCAAAAGTCAGCTTCAGTACGTCTGGGTGAGAAATCCTTGGATCTGACACTGAATCCCTGTGCAGCCGCTACAGAGCCATTCACATGTCTGAGTCTCGCTTCTCAAAACTCAACAGTATTTCTCTACCTCAGTCCGATCTTTGAAAAGGTAAATGCGTTAATACTTGCACGCAAACACAAGGTGAAAGGAGCCATCGGAGAGCATCTCCAAGAGCTGGGTTTTCCACCCCTTTTCCTGTCTGTCCTCACCTCTTGCCGGGCAGCGGCAGAGGCTGAGCCGTCGCTTGCCATCGGGAGGGCAGGGCGGGAGGTAGGACCAGGGCTGAGGGATGGGGCATCGAGCTCTGGAAATCAGCTGAGTGGTGCGGGCGTTGAATGGCAAATGAGTTTGTGTTTGCAAAACGTGGGTTTGGAAATGTCAAGCGTGGTGAATGACTGTGTAGGAAAGGAAAAAAAAATAAATAGGGACAGAAGCTGAGCTGGCAGCTACTGGAGTATCTGGATGCTCTCAGCCCTTTGCCCTCTGTAGCAAGCCTGACCTTACCAAATCTCTCTTATCCCATTGCAAATGAAGTGTGTCCCCCAAGGATGGTTTACCTCCATCTCATTGCATAGGCAGCTCAGGGCTCATTTGCTTGTTTCTGATCTGGGTCTGCAGAATGCTCTTGTGCCCATCTGATGGAAAAACATTTGAAAGCAGAGAGCTGGAGCGGAGGGAAGGGATGGGGAGCAGTGCAGGGAAAGGGTCACATACGGGCCATGCAATCCCTTTGTGTTACAGAGGTGGATGCTTTATGAGCATGACAGCAACAGAAATGGGGTTTTCTGCAGCTAGAGGCTTGCCTAGAAAAAGACAGATACAGAGAGCATTGGGTGTAGAAAAAGACCAAAGCTTGCAATGACCAGCCACCGCTAACGGGAGCTGGGAAAAAGTTGCTGTAACATTTGAACGAGAGCAAATTGTTGACTCTGAGGGGAGCATGTCTGGGTCTGCCTGCAGTCCCTTTGTCAGGCGGTTGAGCCCTGGCAGCTGCCTCCATCCTCGACAGGGTGTGGGAATTTCCCCAGGGAAATTGGGCTGATGCGGGCGGGGGTCCCTCCCAAAAGCTGCGCAGGGAGCTGAGCCGGGGCTGGGACTGACCCCGTCACTCAGCCAGCCTGAGCAGACCGGAGCCGTGGGTTCAGCCTTGCGACTGCTGCGTGACCGGGGCAAATCGCACCTCTGCCTCAGTTTCCCCCATGTGAAGTGAGACCAGTGGGGCTCATTCCCTCACCCAGTAATTGCTAATTTAAGGAGTAGAGCGTAACAAACCTGCCAGGGCCTGAGTAACATCAAAAGCTTGGAAATGTTTTCAGGGGAGAAAAGGCATAATAAATAAAGGCACTAATTTCAGCTGCCTTGAGATTGGGGTGGTCTGGCCTGAGACTGGAGCCTTGGACTGTGTGGCTGTTTTGGTACATAACAGCTCATTTTCCTTCTGCGTATAACGAAGCCAAGAGGGCAGTCGGGCAGCTGCTCGTGTTGTGCCCTGCACAGATTTGCCTCCCGGCTCTGGCTGGGGGGAGGTAGTATTTTGCAGGGGCTCAGCATATCTCCTGCTGCTCTGCTTGCATCCAGGATCTCCTTGGGCCCAGGTCCTCATTAGCCATCTGCCCTCATTGCGCGGGTTGACAGGATGCCGTGGGTAAATGGATAACCTGTCAGGAAGGCAGGAGGATAATATCATTCAAATGAATCAATAGTTCACAGGCAATTTCATGTTACCTAACGTTAATGCAGTTGTGTCCAAAATGTACTTAATCCTGAGTCTGATTACATTCTCGTGGGAGTTTGCTGTGCTGGAATAGTTTTGTAACTCCATGTTTTGGAGATTTACAGACATTGTTCCTACGTGCATGCATACGCAGGAAAGATAAAAAATTACTTGACTTGCTGAAATCTCATAGCCCACGGAGCCAAAAGACATTCGTATTAGCGATGGAAGAGAATGGGTACCCAGCAGTTTCTGAAACTATTACTCCCACCTTCTCACTCCATTTTAGCAATTAGCAAAAGAGAAATTAGTGAAGAAGGCACCATTATTTCCTCCTAATAGGACAAGGAGGGCTGGACTTTTCTCCAGGAAACTGGCTTTGTCATGTAACTGCTTCCATTGACGTGAGCAGCAAAATAGAGCTCTCCCTTTTTGCTTATTTTTTTTTTTAATACAGCCATTTTTATATATCTTGCCACTTTGCTATTCAGAAATGCAAGAGGATGGGCCCCACTCCAAAGCCCACAGTCAAAGCGCCTTCCCACCCTCCACAGGGCATTAGGATGTCCCATGAGTGGCATCTCCTCCTGGTACCTGATGGCAGAAAGGAGCAGTGCAGGGTTGCCTTGTGGGGAGGAACTCATTTAATTTAACAGTTTAAACTTGGTGTCACCGAATTGGATATGGTGGTGGTAGAGCAGCTTCATTCAGCAAGTTATGCTTGTCGCCCAGGCTGGGGTCCAGTTCAGTGAGCTCTCAGAGGAGATTAAGAATAGTAAAGAAAGGACATTAGTTTCTCTCCAGACATGGGTCTCTACAGTCTGGTGGTCTTGGTGGCCTGGGGCTCCCTCCTGCCCCAGGTTTGGATGGACAAGCATTGCCCATGTCCTTGCGCTGCCTGGGGCTCTCAGCCGTAGCGATACCTGGGCACAGCAGTGTTTTCATGGTGAACACAGTACAGATCTTTTTCTGAGAGTGCCTTGGAGAGAGCATTGCTTGGGAAATACAAATCTGCTAAGGAGCTCTGTGCTCTGGACCTCCCACAACAGAGCTGACCTTCTCTGGCCAGTTATAGCAGGTTACTGGCTTCATCTGAAAAATATCATCTGCCTCCCTGCCTCTGCCGTAACCTCTGTGTTACAGGGAACCTCCTGTCTGAAGAGTTGGTTTGTAAGCTGCAAAGAATAACACCACACTCAGGCGTGGTTGGCAGGAACCACAGCTCAGAAATGAAAAGTTCCCAGAACCCACTTTGAGGGGGTTTTGGTCTTTTTGTGGACCTTGGCCAATAAAGATCTGGACTTGGCTGACATCTTCATTAAAAACCTGAGATGAGCAGCATGCTGAGTCGAACCGTGATTAGCACCCAGGCTTTCCCTTACCTGCCAGTGGGTGGATTTTAGCCCCAACTTGAAGGTGGTAGGTTTCACAAGCAGGTTCTCGTAGCTGCGTGTTCCCGTCTTTCCTTCAAGGGTATTGAGTGGTTTTGAAGCTTTAGGTGCCTGTTTTCTTCCCTAATCCTGTTTTCTGTTTTGGGCTGCTTTAGGAGTTTTCCCTCCAGCGCCTGGACAGCCTACTGGACGACCGAGTCAACATCCTGGGATTTTCCATTTTCAACCAGTCTCATGCTTTCTTCCAAGAGTTTGTCCAGAGCCTCAACCAGTCCTGGCAGGAGAACTGCGATCATGCTCCTTTTACTGGGCCAGCAGTAAGTAAAATGCATTCCCATTGCCCGCAGCCTCCCTGAGCTGGAAGCTGCTATAGACCATCAGGAAAACCATGTGAAAAGAGCTGCGGGTTGGTTCTGAGCAGACACTGGCAATGCAATGTGAAGACCACGCAGAGGTAGAAACTCTGGTCTCAAATGTATGGGTACATGGTATTGACTAATTATTTAATCCAGGTAACCCCTGTGCTAAAGAGCTCGGGCACATCACCAGGCTGGTGTCGTACTGCTGTACCTTGGATTGCCTTTTTCGGTTGTTGGTCTTGGGGAGGTGGCGATCCACGAGTGGGAAGGATGCACCAGACAGAGCACCTTAGTTGAGTTAAGTAGGTAGGAGAGGACTTGGGCCATCAAGCTGTGACTTAGAGGGGAGCCTCCTGATCTGGAGAATACTAAAGTGATCCTGAAAGTCTGCGATTGCCCAAAGGGACCTTGGGTGTAGAGCTTTAGAGGGCTTGTCTGTGCTTGAATGTCTGCACGGCTTTAAATTCAAGCCTAATCTTAATTTGAATTATATGTGAGTGCAGGGGATGATGCAGCCTTGATTCAGTATTTCCCTTGTGGAATTTGTCCCTGTGTATTTTACCTCTAGGAAAATGGCTTGTGGAAGGGGGAGTCTGGATGCAAATAGCATAGAAAGAGCTGGGCTTAGGCAGATGCTGAAGGGCTGTGTTACGTTGCCTGCTCTAGCATCTCCCTGATGAGTGTGCAGATCAGCACTGAAATCTTCCCTAGGGACTCTCATAACCGGGAAGGTTTGCAAAGCAGATTTGCCAAATCAGGGATGCAGGGGGCTGCGGCTGAAGCTGGAGGAGGGGAGAGGGAGAAAATGCCATCAGTGCAACCCTTTGCACAGTTTTTAATGAACTCAGAGTCCCCTTAACAAGCTGAGGTAGTTATGTACTGCTGAAAACCTCCTCATTATCACCACAAAGTGATCTTAAGCAGGCAAAATAAGGAACTTTCTGCCCTTTATGTCCACATCCTATTGGCTTGATATGGAGCTCAGGCCATGGTTAGTACGTGCCTGGGACCATCCTGCTCTCCTTCCTTCCAGCCCTCCTGCAGAGGCGGCTGCAGTGAGCTTGCTGTCTCCCTTGCTAAATGTCTATAGGATTGCTACCAGGAAGCTTGCTATTTGGATGACAGTTGCAGGGACTGTTGAGAGGCATTAAAAATAAATTTCCTTCTAACAGTGCAAACAAAAGACAGTAAGAACAGGAGTGGAGCAGATGTGATGATGGGGAAGTAACTGATCTAATTGTGCCTTCTTACCCTGTGTTGTCTTGAACAACCAGCAACATCTGTAGGTGGAAAGATGCAAGAGTACGCCCCATTGCAGCACTTTTTTTTTTTTTTTTTTTGAAAAAGGAAAGGAGTTCAAAGCTGAATGGAGCTGTTTGGTTTGTGAGCCTGAGCCTAAGTCACCCATCAGTGTATTATTAAGTCAGCTGGACATTCCTTTCATTCATTCCTAAAGTGTAATCAACCTTACAGCAGGCTTCCTCCCAGGCCAGGGGGAGCTCAGTCATGCTGCATTGCCCTGATCTAAACAGTCCAGCCCTGCTGTCATTAGGGGACCTGCCCAGGGGTTGTAGTGGCTTCCCAAGCACCTGCTGTGTGGCTGCTCTTGGCTTGTGCTAGCTGGTGGTCAGCTGCTCAAGAAGGTCTGTTATTCCTGTTGTACAAATGGGGAACTGAGGCATGGAAGGGATGTGACTTTTCCCGTTATACCAGAGTCAGGGAACCTACAGCACAGTTGGAAAATCAGTTCAGTTCTCCTCAACCCTAGTGTAGAGTCTTAACCAAAAGATGATTTCTTTCTGATGATGTGAAGGTTCATTCTATGTTCGTAGCAAGGCTCTCATCACCAATATGCCATGTCCCAGGTGATGAGAAAAGGGCCTTGCCCTGGGTGGTGAAGATACAGAGCAGAGGTGAAGTGAAATCTTCCCAGGCAGGGCACGTGTTTCCTCTTCTGTGTCTGCAAGGGAAATTCAGGACCGTTTTGCCATGCGTTGTCTCTGGTGTTGGAAATCTGGCAGGTCTCATTTCTCCGAGAGCATCTCTCTGTGTAAGAACTTCCCCTTTTAATCCTGGGAAGCAGATATCTCGTGGGATAGCTCATACTAAAGAGAAAAAAGGAAGCTCAACAGCTGGAAGTGACAGGAGGGAGGTTTCCTGTGAGCTGCAAAATCCCAGGGCTTTCTTGCTAGAGCTGAGAAGGCATCTGAGGAAGGAGGAGGGAGCTGCTTGCTCTAATGCCATTCTCATTAATCACATTGCAAAGAAAGGAAATCAGAGAAAATCATTCAAATTACAGATGGCTAGATTAGGTAATTAGAATTTAGACTAAAACAGATGTTTGTAATTAAGTGTTTATGTCATTGAATAAAATCCAGATTGTAAAGTCTATTTCACAGGATTTTAATGGTTTTAATTCTCTGTGTTATGTTTGGGGGCAAAGATACAGATGATAATGTTTTAGGAAGAAAAGGAAAAAAAAACCCAACCACATGGCAAAACCCAGACTAGCCAAACCTGTTCATGTTTCCCTGGAGATCAGCTTACCTTTAAACATGGCCTTTACGTGGGAGATTTCCATAAATAAAAAATAAAGTGAGATCTTCCACTTAACCATGCTTAACCTGCTGTTAGTTTCTAGAGGGGCAGATCTGGCGTTGGGAGGAAGGTGAGCTGCATCCAGCAAGGAGCTGGGTAGAGCTTAGGTACCATCCCTGCTCCCGAGGCGCAGGGCATCCGATAGCGGTAGTTGTCTTGAAGACACTGGTCGGAATGGTCCTGCCAGCTGATGTCACAAGGGCTGGAGATCTGTTTCTTGACCCTTTCCAGCTCATGAGCAGTTCCCAGGGTTTTGTGTCACAGTTGTATGCTGCAACACCTCCTTAGTTTCTTGGGTACAGCCTCTCCTGGTGCAGCTGGCCAGCGTGCCAGGGGGAATGGAGCAGCGAGCCTGTCTGTCCAGCCCACCATCTGCTCTCTTTTCTGGAACCTTGTTCTGATGAGACATCCATCAAGTGGCAATTTTTATCAGCAACTTTCATTATCAAGAATTAGGCTTTAGGGATAGAGGGAAGTCCCCTGAGACCCATGAATCTGCGAGTGGACGACAACCACTGAGCTTATCGAGTCTTTCACATGCAGCCTGTCACAGAGCTCTTACATTGCAGAGAGAGTACAAAACCAACAGGGATCTGCACAAATCAGACGATGCACACAAGGAAGAGAATCAATTTGTTAACAGGCAAATTGGCTTTTTGTGACAGAGTGACAAAGCTGTGGTTTAAAATGAGAACATAAAAGTAGTGAGAGATTTTATAGGTGACATGAAGAAAGTTGAGGCAACGTACATGAGAGCAGTGACAGATCCCACTTGCTGAATCTGCCTAGAGGAGATTAAAAAGGTGCTGCCTCCGGCTCTCTCTCCCACTCCTTTGCTGAAGGTTATGGGCCCAAGACACTTGAGACCACGTGGCTGCTCCGCATCTGTTCCAGTGCAAAGTCAAGCAGCTTCACTTACTGCACCACTGACTTATGTGAGCCTGCGGGAAGTGGAGTGGATGAGCTAAAATGACCCAGTCCTCATCTGAACTTTCTGGGCTGCAGGAGATAGCTGGAAGCAGTGAGCTTGTGTTAACCTTGTTAACCTCAGTTAACTTTGTGAGAAGATGCTTGCCTACCTGCGAAAGCCAGGGAGACCAAAGAACCCAGAAGAGCTGCTGCACTCCAACGCTATGTAATTGTGAATGGTTTCCTCCACACAGCCTGCATCCCAAATTACCTTGCTGTGTTGAATATGATTTATTTTATGTGAGTTACTGAGTGAATAGTGGCCGAGGGAGATGGCCATTAGGCAGGTGGTGCAGGGCAACAGAGCAAATGCTGCGTTGGGTTGAGATGAGAGACAAACAGGAGGGCGGTGGTGCTGCTGACGGGGTTGCAGGTGGTGGTGGTGGAGCAGGATGATCCCACACCAGCAACCACGGGAAGATACGGAGTGCCTTAGAGGATTTTGATACCAGAGGAGAGAGGAGGGAATAGAGTCAAGGCCATGAACCTCCCTAGGTCCGAGTCCTGGTGGCTGTTCAAGAGAGGTTGAAGGGGGAATCAAGGCAGGTGTTTAAAAGGAGGTGCATGGGTCTGTTTACGTGCATGTTGCTGTGTTTCCAGGCTCCCGTGCCTCCAGGTGCCATGCTCCAGGGCCCACAAAATTGAGAAACTGGCATAGGAGCCTGGTTTTGAGCCCAACAGGGCAGGGAATGGCTGGCATAAATGATAAGCAGCAGCAGTGGAAATGTAGTGCTTCTGAGGAAAGCTGTGATTTTTCTTTAAAGGAAAGAAGTATGTTGAGGGCATGTGAGCAATTCCCATTCCATACCAAGAGGACCTGATCCTGTGTATCACAACCCCCTCCCCAATCCCTAAATTGCTTGAAATCATAAGGGGGCTGCCAGAAATCGTAACAAATTGTTCGAGGCTAAGGAGTAAAGTATTCCAATCAATAATGTCAAATGCTTCACTAAGATCTACAAGTCTCTTGCTCACCAGCTAATAAGAGATCATTAACTGCTCAGGGAAAATGGAATTGAAAACCTAACAGGAGACAATTAAAAATGCTGGACCAATATTCTGATTTGTATGAGATGGTGAAACTTTAGGATCACAGGGGTTGCATTTGCTCTCATAACAGTTTCGTTTGGCCAATTGGTATCAATATGGTTCCTGATTCAGGAAAGCAATTGCTAATTGTGTATGGTATCCTGTAACCTGAGTGGGATTCGATCCATAGTTAAAATTAAGTATATGCTAAAGATCTTCATGGAACAGGGGCTGAGGAAAGGACAAGCTGGAGAGGTCCTGTTAGGAAAGGAACTTGTACTGAAGGTGAAAAAAGAAAGGTAGGGAGAAGGATATATCAGATACTTTTAAGAAGCTCTGGAAAATGCAACATGGAAATGGTTGTGCCTGGGTGAAAAACATGGTTTGTGAGGCTTGATGGATAAAGAAATCTGATTAAAGGCAAACAAAGCAAAGATGACAAGGAGAGAGGATGAGCTCTGTGGTTCTGGACGTTGCTTCAGCAATGCTATTACAGAGCAGGTAACAGCTAGCAGGAAACCAGAGGCTGTAGCAAAGGACTAGATGGTTCACCAAAGCACCAAAAAACCACAGCTTGATTAGAAAGGGTTAGAAACTGTGAGGAACAAGCAAGCAGAGATGTAAAGGGTAAGAAAGCAAACAAGAAGAGAAGGAGAAACATAACAGACCGAGATTGGGACTGGGGCTGGCAAAGGGATTACACTTGCCCCAGTGATGCCTATGAAGGCACAGCAGTTCAGGGATACCATTGCTTTTGTTCTCCCTGCCCTTGGATGGGTCCAGACAGGGTGCAGGGTGTCGCTGGAGCAGAACAGCAGGCAAGCAGGGCTTGCTGGCTGCACAGAGTACAAGGATTTTGCTCCTTTCTGATCCCAGCTGAGGTTGTGGATAGAGCACTCTTCTGCTTGCTGCAAGGTCCTGAAGGTGCGGCAGCAGGCTCAGTCTTTGTCTTCCCACCTCGATTTTTTGCTTCCTTTTCCCCACAGCTCTCTTCTGCCCTGCTGTTCGATGCTGTGTATGCTGTGGTGACGGCCGTGCAGGAGCTGAACCGGAGCCAAGAGATTGGTGTGAAGCCCCTGTCCTGTGGGTCTGCCCAGATCTGGCAGCACGGCACCAGCCTGATGAACTACCTGAGAATGGTGAGAAGGGACTGAAGTTTGCCAGAGGCCAAAGATGTGTATGTACATGCTGGTGCTGGCACAGTTCTCAAGCACAGAGTGTCAGTCTGTTTGAAGGTAGCACTGGGAATGAAAAGGGAGGAGATCTGAGGGCTGGTTTGTCACTGGCCTTGGAACGACATGAAACTCCGTCTTTCAGGCTTTGCTGCAGAAAAACTGGAATTCAATGAATTTTTTTTTTCAAGTATGAATGTGTCCAAGTGATTTGAGCTCTGATTCGAGTCAACTTGAGTTGATAGAAGGTCACGCAGTACAATTGCTTAGAGCACAGTGGTAAGATGTGAGTTTCCCTGTGAAGGGGTTTGGGCTCCTTTGAACCCAAAAGTATGGTAGCTGGAACCGATCAAGCCTAGCTCTGGCACAAGAACAGACCCTGAAATTTGAGCCTCGTGAAATAGTTGGAGTTTGTCAATGTGATTCCTCAGAGCTCAGCTTGACCATGCAGGAGGAGTGTGTTTTCTGAGCCTGTTTGGGGTGCGACTGAAATGTCATGAGATGAGGAAATTTCATGAGACTTTTTTTTTGCCCCAAAGGAAGGCTCAGCTGAACCTGAACCTTGTACCACTTTGGTCCATGCGTGTGAATGCTGCTTTAAATCTCACCCTTAGTCAGAGACAATAAAATCCTTCAGCTTCCCTTGGCTCTGCTACTAGGAGGCCCAGTAGCTTGCCTTTGTTACTGAAGAGGTGCTCCAGCAGCAAGTGAGCAGTTGTTAATCTGCACAGTGAGGCTAGACGCTCATCCTGGCTCCGTTGCAACATGTTTTTGTGTTAAATGCTGGCCTGATGCTGTGAAACAGCACGTAATGGTTTGTGGAGGAATCCCCAGCTAGTGATTTGGTGTGGCACGGCAAAGAGCTCATGCCTGCCGCAGAGCAGCGCAGTGTTAGCCTTGGGATGGAGGGAGGCGGCGAGGCGCTGCGGAGGTGGTTGTTCCCAAGCAGCTGGAGCAAAGAAATTTGGGGAGCCCTGCACCTCGTGCTGCTGATTCTCCTGCTCCTCTCCATGTCTAGCCAGACTCCAAAAGCAATTAGGATTGAGACACGAGGATTGCATTGCTGTACCTGCTGGGACGGTGGATGGTGAGTGCCATCACCCCCGGCTCTGCTGCGGGTGATGGGGTGAGCCATCTCGATGGGCGCTGTAACTCATTCTCTCTTGGACAGGTAGAATTGGAAGGTCTCACCGGCCACATCGAATTCAACAGCAAAGGCCAGCGATCCAACTACGCCCTGAAAATCCTGCAGCACACTCGCAGTGGGTTCCGGCAGGTAAGAGCGGCCGTGCTGCCTGGGGGACGGTGCCGAGGGACAGTCTGTGCGTAGCCTGGCGAGGGTTTGGCTCAGGCTGCTGCTGTGGGGGCTGAAGGGGGTTGCGGACACCCCCTTTTGCAAGCTGAGGTGTTCAGCAAGCGACAGCACGACGTGGATGTCACGGTATCTCTCGCTGGGCCTGGGTTGGCAAACACACCGTGTTTCACTTCATCAAGAGCGTGTCTTGAAATAATTTAGATTTGTCTTCATGTATCAGGCCCCTGAGGTGGTGATGTTCGAGTCAATATCTGTCCTTTCACAGTAACCCTCCTGTGCAGGAGATAATTCAGGGCATAAAATGTGTGCCAGATACAAGCTCACGCTCAAGACACTTTTGTTCTTAAGCTTGTACTCAAAATGATTTGGCTGGGGAAAAATGGGAGAATTTCCCATGAAATGGGCAAAAAGGGGTCCTATGAACATTTCCAAAGAACTGTTTCTGGTAGGGAAAGTGAAGGGGGCAGTCCGGTGTCAGGAGCTCCCCACTGTCTCTCCCCAGCAGAGAGGAGAAGTGGGAAGAAGTGCAAGATAATTTCTCTCTCAGTTTATGGTATGTATTCCTCTGTAACGGGCTTGCTTAGCTCAAAGTCTCATTTGCTTTTTGTCTCGGTGCTTGTAGATTCCTCACAGCATCGGTTCTTTTTCTGCTTGTTACCCTCCAAGGGTCCAAGGGATATTTTCTGGCTTCAGCTAAGGTTAAGGATAACCATGTGAGGCCACAGATATCAAACTGGTGAGATTACGTGGCATAAGCCCAAGGAATTAGGGTTTTACTGGTAAATCCAAACCTCATTCAGGAAAAAAATGGAAGTCCCAGAGAAAGGGTTTTCATCTGTCTTATTTCGCTGCTGACAGCTCCACACTTGCCCTTTTCTCGGAGATTGCCACTTCTCCTGGACACTGGCAGGGAACAAAAGCTATTGTATTTTACCCCACACCGACAGAGCGTTTTGGCATTAGGAAATCTCTCCTGGTCTGGCAGCAGTGAATTTTAGCCTTGGCAAGGGTGTTGCCTGCCAGTTCTTACCTGTCAAGTGGCAGCTCAGCTTCGATGCTGCCTTTAGCTGAGTGAGCGGGGGATCAGGATGGCATTTTCCCCACGGTAAGATCTCTCATAGCACCAATGCCCTTTTAATCGTTTCCCAAACCCATCATACTCTGAGCAAAAGTGACAGATCCAAGCCCATCTGCATTAATAAGAGCATGCATTCAGCTGGAGCAAAGGAAGCAAACGCTGTAAACCTCCCTATGACAGCTATGCTTTTGATGTGTTTAAATGTGGCAGGGAGTTCACATTAAATGCACAGGTCCTCTTGGAGCAGTGCTTCTCCCAGAGCTCCATGGAGAGCTCTGACTGCAGCCTGGCTACCCTGAGACAAAAGTCTCAGCTCTTCTTCAAATCCCGGTCTGACAGGAGAAAACCTTTTTTGACCTATTGCAACAGCTCGGTAAATAAACAGCTTTATGTTTCAGAGGTACCCAGGAAAGCTGCGCTGGGACCAAGCTTTTCAAATTTCCCATCAGAGCACAGTGGTGATAAATCACTTCCAGTCGCAGTAACAAGGTGCTGGGAGGATGGGGCAGTCCCTCCGTGTGCACAGCTGCCTGCTGAGAGCCTGTGGTGACTTCAAGCCCTCTCCTGTCAGAAACCCACCAGGGAAGAGTTAGTCTTTGTAAAACTGCTCTGTACGCCTGCAGCAGCCTTCCCGCTGTCGGCTCTCCCCTTCTCAGGCAGCCCCTTCTCAGGGGTCTTGCCTGACTGATAGCAATGTCTGGAGGGGTGTTAGGGCCCCTCACAGGCTGCAAGACTTTGTCCTGATGTGCCCGGCTGGAGGGGACATCCCTGGACAGAGCTATGAAACCTGGGCAGGGTCCTGCCTGCACCCCTCGGTCACTGCAAAGGGAAGCCAAAGGCTACTCTGCTGTGCCATAGATGCTTGTTTTCTTCTCACCAGCCCAGCTTCTTGTAATAAAAATGACTAAATAAATCATTAGAAATCATTTAATTAAACCCACCGTGAGGGGATGGAGTAAGGAACAGACATTCACATCCTGGAGACAGTCTTTTTCCCAAGGGTTATATTAACTGATTTTTTCAGGCTCTTGTTTGAAACACTTCTATTCCCTCCTTAGTTTTAATCAAGCTCATGCTCTCTGCCCGTGTCTTTCTTTCTGTCTTTCCCTCTCTTTCTCTCTCCCCTTCTCTCCCTTTCCATCTATCGAAGCCACAGGGACTTCCAGCTCATCAGCTTTGATAGAGAGTTCACCGAATTTTGAAGCTGATCCAGCCAGCAAACAAATTAGAGACACTTAGATTTTCTAACTTGCTGTTGCTTTTGGGCAAGGAGAGACAGGGCTTTTTGACATCCAATTTTTAATACATTTATGTAACTCACCAAACGTGTCTTTTCCTAATTTAGCTTAACTGGTGGAAATTTTTCCACAGCCATATGAAAGCCGCTTTCTGTTCATAGAATGCGCGATAAAGCACAGACTCATTAATGTGTTGGTGATCCATAGATCTGACAAGGACTGAGTTTGTAAATGTCATCTTTTTATTTTTTTCCCTTTCCTTGCCCCTTTAAAAAACATTGCAGCACACCCCTCCCGTTTCAGCGTAGTGATTTGCAGTAAACTAAGATCTAAGGTTTGGCAGCTTAACAGGCGACAGGAATGAGGGGGGGCTGTGATTTATACAGCCCCAGGGAAGGCAAGCGTGCAGAGGAGAGGCAGGGGAAGCTGCTGTCGGGGCTGGAGCCCGGCCATGGGCACGTTGTCCCCAGCTCTGCCCCTTGCTCTCACCCGGTCCTAGGTGCAGCCGATAGTTGCTGTTAAGCTAAAGGCTCTGCTGGTGTCCTGAGACAGAGCAGTGGAAGTGACAGGGGTGTCTAATTGGTATGTTGATGAGATACGGATGAGTTACCAGACGATAGCTCCGAGACCCTCTGCAATCCGTGCCACATCAACCCTTTTTAACTTCGAAGCGGCTAATCAGTCTCAATGGGACTTGTTCCTCTTTAGGTGTTACCCCCAGCAAGAGTTCAGGGACAGATCCTGCCAAGAGCTGAATGTCTTTTGCCCCTCAGGACCTGACGAACTTGGTGCGTGCCACCATCAGGTCCTGCCTGGGCTATGTCAGGTGTCAATCATGTTGTCTGAAGGGGACGTCTGGGGAGGAAGGGGATTGCAGGGGTTGCTGCGTGGCCTCAGAGGTGGGTTGTGTGCATGTCTCCTGGTTGTACAGGTTTTAATAGTTGGTGCTAACTTCTGTGGAGGAGGCTTTTGCCTGCTTGCCTTGCTGGCCTCAGTCTTGCAGTGGTCTCCTTCAGGGGTGCCAACCATGTGGCAGACCTGTGCAGTGTCCTCTGAGGGCTTTTCTTTGTTTGTTTTAACCTCTTTCCCCCTCCCTAGACACCCCTAAATTCCCTCCCCTTTGGGCCAATGAAGGCAGCATGTACCAAGTACCTACTTAATTGTCTCTCCTCCTGGCACAGTGTCTTTCCCATTAGCGCTAACAAGGCTCTCCAAATGCAGACTTGATGAGAGATGAGAGCATTTTGCTCTCCTTCCTTTTCCTGGGGACACGGAGGGAGGGGAGGTGATGAATGCAAGCTGTAGGACAGTGCTTGCTCATCAGAGCCCAGAAGGTATCTGAGTTTGCTGCAGTGGCGATCTCTTGCCTGTTTTAACACACCTGTATTCAGCGCTGGCTTTACCTTAATTTTTAGCTGGGGAGTGGGGGTGGTAAGTACCTGTGGTGCCTCTGAAGCTTATGGAAAGGTCTTGCTATGTCGTCTCTCCCTGCCACCAGCTGCCATTCAGGCCTGCAGGGCACTAAGCAGAAGACTTTATTAAAATCATTGGTTTGAGTGGTATTTTGTCATCTTGCACCATGAGGAGCTTGAAAGCCCAGGCATTGTTAACGTGCGTCTGAACAGAGGAGCTGAAGGATTGAAGGAGCGAGCCGGGAATGCCCCACTTGCATCGCGTTAGCCACTGGTGATTTTCTACGGAGATCAGAAATCTTTAAGTGTCACCAATCCAAATAACGCCTTTTGCAGAGCAGCTAATTTGAGGGACTTTGCCTGCCTGTGGGGATGGAGCAGTGTCACGAGCAATGGCATTTCGTGGCTTATTCCAGGCTCGAGGCCCTTTGGGCTGGTTCGCACTGAAACTGTGTGTTTGCTCTGCCTATAACAAGGACATGTAACAAGACAGACCTCCTGCCTCAAGATGCTTGCAGGACGGGCAGAGCCGTGCTGGCTCTCCTTACTGCGCAGGGAGGCACCAGGAGGTGCAGAATTGATGCCCTGGGGGTCTGCAGTGGGACCACGCAGCCTGAGGACGTGCAGGGAACTTTCTCCATCCAGGCCACGGGCTGTCACCTGTCACCAGGTCATATAATCGCCCTCACAAAGGTATCGAGCTCCAGCTTGCAAACAGGTGGTTGTATTGCCCTCGCTGCTCTTCTGGGAAAGGTATGCCATCACTTAAGCTCCTCTGATCATTAGAAACCCTCTTCTAATTTCCAGGCTGTTTATTTCTGGCTGGTTTACATCTATTTATTTTTGTGCCAACACTATCATTTTAGCTTCAAAAGCTGTTCTACCTCTTTGCTGTGGACCTCCTCCACCTGGTGTATTTATACAGACCAATCATATCTGCTACTAAAAAATCTCGAGTCCTAAAAACTCCTAAGTCCTAGTTCAGAGCCTTAACAACAGGATCATCTTATCCATGTCCATGTAGAGCATTTGATTGTTTTCTAACACATTTTGTAGATGAATATGTTTTCTGTTTTTCAGAGGCTCTTTATACATGGATAGAGATGATTAAAATCACCTTGACATCCATCTTGCAAGACAGGGAGAGATCTGACAATCCCAGACATCCTCTGACACGTTACACTTCAGAAACAGCGAACAACGCGAGGAGTCAATTAGTGGCTTTATCATACCGTGAGGGGGACAGTGGTGAGCTGGAACAAGCCAGGATGGGGTGGAAGTACCCCCAGCACATGGGAGTGTTTGGCTTTGGTGCTGTGTTAAAAGCAAGGTCAAACCCACTGCGCTGTCAGAGGAGGAGGCACTCAATTAGTCTCAGTATGCCAGCAGGGGAAGGACAAATTTGAGAACAGTGAGGGCTGTTAAAATTAAAGTTAATCTGTCACTAATCTCTGGTTGTGAAATCTGGGAGGAAAAGAATTAGGCAATGTTTATGACTGATCACTGGCTCAGAGAGGCAATTGCTGCCGAGGGTCTGCTGTTCAGCAGTCACAGCAAGAGACAAGCACCTTTGTGCAGAGTTGGGGAATACAGACGGGCTAAATCCATCCCGTCACACCGATGCAGACCCTGCACGGGCCAGTTAAAGCTGTGCTTCAGGGACTCCCTGTCCACAAAGTAAATGGTAAATCTCACAATTTGGGACTGTTGTTCCCAGAGGTGAGCCCTGCACTACAGTGTCACCGTGATGCTATGAGCTTGATGGTAGTTAAGTCACAACAAGCTGTCAAGAGAACAGGATGCCCAAGATCTGCTCCCAGCCTGCTCTGAGACCCCGTCACTGTGCCTCCATCTCCCCGTCTGTCAAGTGAGGCTAATAACCCCCCAGCGCCTCTCCTGTTAGTGGGGAACCTCTGAGAATTAATGCTTCCAACACATTCAGAGGTCCTTGGCATGACAGGTGCTTTTAGCAGAGCAATATTAATGTTGGTGAAGGGGCTGGGCTGACAGCTTGGAGGAATAATCTCTGTTGTGTTATCTGCGGAGTAAACAAACCCCCCCCCTGGGGACACAGCTGGCTCTGCCTGTGCTGCTGCATCCCGGTGCCTCGACTCCAGCCAGGGAGGAGAGCAGACATGGACGTGACTCTGCTTTGCTTTCCCTGCCTGCTTTCCTTTTGCAGAGCCGTCGAGTGTAAGCTGTCCTTTTTGCACTTCCCACTCCTCCTTGTTCCTAGAAGATGAAGAGACTGGATCTGGGACTCCTAGCAGATGGCCACTTTTGTAATGGCTTGTTAGTGGCTTGGGCGAGATTTGCACCAACTGCCAGGAGAAGAAAGGACTGGGCCCTTTCCTCAACGTCCAGAGCAATTCAGTCTGCCGACAGCGTAGCAGCATGGCTGCAGTTTCAGGTTGTGTTTGGCTTGGATGCACGAGCTGGGAAGTGACTCTGAAGTCCTCAAGCCATCAGTCATGCCAGAGGCAAAGCACTGCCAAGAAAAGCGACTGAGTGCACGGAGTCAGTCCTGGGGCGGTGTAAATCAGCGTGCCTCCTATTTATTTCCATGGCAGTGCACCCTCCTGGCCCGTAGCTCTGCATTGCCTTCCACCCACCTCTTTGAACATAATAAGATTACTCTTTGATGGAAGAGAAATTGATTTGTTCCTACCACCCTGACAACCGTGGCACAGCGAAAGGATAACCTGCCTTAGACCAACAGTGCCCGAGACGGCCCGTGTTGGCGAGAGGGAACTGGGAACAGAGTTGCTCTGGCACTGTGGCTACGGAGGAGCCGTGAAGACACCCCTGCACGTTGGGGTCACCCACTACCTCTTAGGGCCGCAGCAGCTCGCTTCTGTGGTGTCAGAGGACTTAGGCTGTGGGCAGCAATCCAGCCTGCAGAGGGCTGAGACCTGACGGGGGCAGAGAGGCTTTGCAGGAGAAAAAGGAGAGAGAAGGGGTCTTGGAGAGAGCTGGCCTTCCTCAGCTGCCGGTCTCTCAATAAGAAAAAACAGAGGCTCTTTTAGGGAGCATAAGAGAGCGAGAGCCTAATTTGCATGCTCTGAACAAGCTGCTGGAGGTGCTGATCTCCCTGCCCAGACCTCTGAGGGAAGGAGATTAGGCTCTTGAAGTTAAAATTAGGTTTTGTTGCATATTCCTCCCCCTGGCTGAAGGCAGCGGCTGGTTGTGTTGCGTCACAGCTGAGTCTCGATGTCCTCCCAAGCACTGGGGGACTGGTCCCTGCCACTGGCAGTGGGAATTAGGTTTGCTGCAGCGACACTGATGCTTGGATGGGTGAATTAGGCTGTCCGCAGAGCTGTTGGATGTGATGAGCCTGAATCAAAGAGTTTGGAGGTACTTAATCATGGTAGTTGGCATCCATTACAGCAGATAGAGGAGATGAGTCACAGTGCAGCACCACTGAGAACGTGGCTTCATTTCACCACCTGCCACCAAGGTGGAGCTGCTGGGCTGGGCTGGAAGGCACCTGCCCCATGTCATCAGTGCTGCTCTGGGATTGCAGTGGATACTCCCTGTGAAGTGGCATTTTCCTCTGAGGAACTGACAGTGCCTATACCAGCCTTTAACTAGTGACAGTGACGCTCACAGGAGGACAGCAGGAGGTTTTGCTTGCTTTCAGGCAGATGAAACCTTTCTTCAAAGTTACAGAGACAGCATAAGGCAGGACAGGAGTTGGAGGCAGGAACCCCGTCTCCTCATTTCTGGGCTTTCACTGTGAAATCATGAGACTTCAGCACTTCCTGAAGTTCTTCTGAGCTGTGTCTGTAACACACAGCGCCCGTGTGAAGAGCTCAGCGTCGTCACACCTGGGTGTAGTGCTGACCCTGCAGTGCGTACTGGTGGTAGGGTCTCACTGAGGGATGGTGCAGCTGAGCCAAACCCTGGCTATAGCGTTGCCTTTCTGGCAGCCCGTCGTGAAGTGCCTCTGTGCCCTGTCCCCTTTAGGAGTTGACTTCCAGAGAACTCAGGAGGTGAAGGGGTCAGCCAAAATGCACCAGGTTGAAAGCGATGACCAAGTCTTCTCCCTGTGGCCATGATCTAGCTGCCATGCCTCAGTGTGAGGGATGGCAGAGGCTCTCAGCCCCACCACGTTGGGAGGGATAAGCTTGCAGATTTGTCTGCTTGGGGACTGCTGGGTAAGATGGACCCATCTTGGTGGCATTTGGGGACAATGCAGAAGGCTGCTTGACCACTGTGAACCCCAGGAGTTGCCCACCACACGGCTCTTTCTGGGTTCAGGGCTTTGCTGCAGCTGCAGGGAGGAACCTGGGAAGGCAGTGCCTGCCATGAGCAGGGACAGGTTTTTGGCATTGTAATTGTAGGTGGGGGTGTGCCGGGGCCGTGCACCACCGAGTTAATCTCTCTGCTGGCCCATTGTGAGGGTGCATTGTAAAGGTAATGGAGCATTCATAAACACATCTTCCAGGGCCAGCTTGACGGTTGTCAGTCATTGGAGCCATATGGCGGATGCGTACAGTAATTTGCCCTGTAAATCCCCTTATTGTGCTGTTTATTTCTCCAGATCGGCCACTGGCACGTTTCTGAAGGACTCAGCATGGACAACAGGATCTTCTCCTCCAACATATCAGACAGTCTGTTCAACACCACACTCATTGTCACCACCATCCTGGTAAGTGAGGGGGTCACCTACAGTTCCCATTAGCTCTTCGCCAGCCCAACGCTTAGGGGTGTCAATCAGCTAGAATATTATTCCCTCTTCCTACCCGCCTCGGCCCCCAGCATGCGGCATTGCACGCTGATTTCATAAAGAACAGACAATCAAATCTCTAATTACAGCACTGAGGACAATTCATGACAGTGTAATTAAACTCAAGTTGATGTTTCATATGGAAATGATATTTGATGAGTTCAGAAGCAGCTGGGGAGAGGGCTGGGATGGGGATAAGTTGCCATTTTCCATTCATCTCTGAATGATGTTCTTGTTTTGCGTACAGCTGGTAAGTTGGAAGGGACAGTTGTCTCTTCTACCCATAAAATTACTGAAATTGGCCAAGATGGGTGCAACGTCTATGAACCAAGACTTCACATCTACAGGCACCGCTGTCCTTATTCAACAAATTCCCCTTCCAGGTGCTGCCTGTCCCATGATTTTTTCCAGTGCCTCTGCTCCTTCCTTAAAGACACTCAAAATCCTGAAGAACTCTGAGCACTATTTCCTCATGCCCCACAAAGTGTGTTGAAAAGGGGGACAAACTGAAGAAGTGGCTATATGCCAAGAGAGTTGTCTATATGTCCTGGCATAACTCAGAGCAGTCACTGGGCTGCTGTGGCATATGCCAGTTAGAAACAGCCCCCAAAGCATAATCCCTTAGTTCTGTTTCATATCCTTAACTGGGATAAATCTGCTGTACCTCCAGCACATCCCTGACACAGCAGAGGCCAATGAAAACCAGTGCAGAAACAGCTCTGCCAGCTTTACACCAGCTGGGTTCCCAAGCAATCAAACCAGCTTTCCGTATCTCTTATGCCCTGGTCGAGAGGGATATATTGGGATGGAAGGTTGGCCTGGGTGCCCCTTATGTGAGCCGCTGCCATCCTGGTGCTGCCAGGGAGCCCGCTGCCCTCTCTGCCCTGTGCTCAGCGCCGTGCTGGTGGGACGCCTCGGCTAAGATGGGAATGACAGCTGCCCAGTTTCACTGCAGGAAAACCCTTACTTAATGCTGAAGTGGAACCATCAGGAGCTGGAAGGCAATGACCGCTACGAGGGCTTCTGTGTGGACATGCTGAAGGAGCTGGCAGAGATCCTGCGTTTCAACTATAAGATCCACCTCGTTGGCGATGGTGTGTATGGAGTCCCTGAGGCAAATGGCACATGGACAGGGATGGTCGGGGAGCTGATTGCTCGGGTAAGTGAATTAGCTGCTCTTTTTAACTGTGCTCTAGTGGGACTTGGCAATGAAAAGCCCTGATGCTTTATTAAGTGCTCCAGGATGATAAGGATGGATGGGGGTTTTAGTCCATTTATGAGACTTTGACCAGAGGATCTCCATTTAATATGTTCTCCCAATGACAAACGTATTTGTTGTGTTGATGTGACAGCGTGTGAAGTAGTCAGGGCCCCTGGGCGCTCTTACGGATGATCACTTTGTTCGACTCTGGGGTCCCTGCATAAGAGCTCGATACGGAATGGAGATTCTCCCCCCCGGAAAAATTAATAAAAAATGAAACAGGAAAATATGCAGGCTCTGGCAGGGGTTAGTAGAAACTGAAGAAAACTCACAAAAACACACTGTTTGGGAGAAAAGCAAGTAAGAATTGCATTTCTACCCAGAAAAGTTTTGGCAGATTCATCTCAGCTCCTTAACTTTGAGTATTGCTTTTGGAGAGGAACATTTTTTGTTTGCTTGAAGTGCGTGGATCGAGGTCTTTTTGCAGCTCTGCTTCATGATGTTGCTGCACAGCAGCTAGACTGAAAGCTGAATGCTTTTGCTGGGTTTGACAACAATTCTATATCCCCCTTCCTGCTCTTTATTTTCCTCCGCAGCTAAAGGTAGTCCTTCCCCAGGGATCCTGTTCACGAAGTGCTCTGAGATCCTTAGCAAACTAGGCTAACGTTACGATTGATGTTATTTAAACCAATACTTACTTGCTCACCGATTCTACCCTGCCTTGTTATTACCAAAGCGCCTGTGAGAACCCGGTGACAGTTTCTCAGCTGGTGGCAAATGCACAGTGAGGTGTATTTGATAATCCACACCGCTATGTGAGAAGCCCCTGAGCCACCCCATCGTTATCCTCACAACAGTGGTGCATCCTCATGCAAAGTGGAGGAACGAGGGCCCAAATCCGACCCCTGTGGCTCCAGGCAGGGGTCTGGGGCTCTTGCCACAGCTTTCCTCCTGGCTACGGGAAGCGAGCGAGCATCTCTAGAAGATACCCACTGGCATCTGTCTGCTTCTTCCCCGGATGGCAAAGGGGACCTGGCTGATGCTTGCCCTACCTTAGGAGCTTCAACTGAATGTCTAAAGTCAGGTGGGATAACTCTAGGTCTAAAAGACTTGCTGACAGTCAGGGACAGGGCACGATACGGCCTGGAGATCCCTCCTGAACTAGTGCTCTGTCTCCTGGGTCGCCCTTCCCCAGCGGAGCGATAGCTCTCGACGCCAGCTGAGATCCCACCTCCGTCTGCTTCTTCTAAAGTGCCTTCTGTACGGTTGTTTGCAAATGCTCTGGGCTATTGGCATAGTTTTTATACATCTCTCTGTGTGTGTGCATGTGTATATATACACACACAATTACAGTTCTGCAACGTTTCTTTTGGGAGGCAAGAAGGAAGGCACAGAGAGCAGTGTGTGATCTATGCAAACAAAGGAAGGGAACAGCCGTCAAATTTTTGGCCTACTAACCTTGGCAGTGCCTCTCCATTAAATGGGAGCTTCTGGAGGGTTGTTTTTCTTTAATGATAAGTGTTTTAACTTCATTTTCACATAGAAACCATTTGTTTCTTCTGCAGCTCAAGCCTTATTTAGGAGGATTTTTACTTCTGCTTCAGCAGGGCAGAGCTGGCAAAGCCTGTGTGAGGCTGAATCAAAAACTGGAGAAGAGAAAATCCTTTCTCTGCTTTGTTCTTCCTGGGCCCTTTAGTCTTTATAATGGTTTCAGCAAGTTTTTGATCAGTCCCAGGAACTGGCACTTTGGTTCAGGGCAGATCTGGCTGTGTACATGCTGTTGTGTTTATTCAAGGCTGTTTGGGACATTGCTTTCTGAGGTCATTTCACCACCCAAGGGGTTCATCTTCTTCCTTGACACTCAGCCCTCAAGGGGGTTTGTCCTCAGTTCCAGCCCCTTGTTCATCCCCTATCCCACTTCAGGATCACTTGAAGCAGAAGAGCCAACAGATCCTATGTTGGGCACAAACAGTCCTCTTTCAGTGGATTTATCCCTTGGGCACTTTTCTTCGTACAGCCTTTAGCACAGAGGGGGCATCAGTTGGGACACAAACCTGTCACAGGGGTCAAAACTTCCCAAATCCTACACAAAATAAAAGCTTTGCACCTGACTCTTTGTGCAGTATTATTGTGGGAAAGGGATTCCTCTTTCACTCTGATCAGCTGTCAGAAAGTAAGGTTTGACTCACATGCACTTAGTGTGCAGGACCAGAAGGTCAGAAAATTATCCGGCTCCATGCAATATCTTTCCAGTAGATATTTATTTTTTTTTCCTCTGTAATCCTGCCATGGCACTGAATCTCCTCAGAGCAACTATAGGCTATATGGGAAAAGTGTTTCATTTTATTGCTTCTAAATTAACCAGCTATTGATTTATTCTTAAGTGCTGAAAATTCCATTACAGCTAATTGTGCACTATGATATGATTGAGAAGGATGCTATATAAACATAAATTTGTTGTTGACCCAAATTTACCAGTACATACCTTATCGACCTGCTCACAAAACTAATTAAGAGCTAAGGAAGAGGGGGGACCAGGATGGCTTGGGGGATTAGTGGAAGAGCTGTAGAGCTTCCTGTGTCTAGGTCAGTAGTCTGAATCATCGTCAGATCAGGAAACCTGTACACTTTGTGATCAGCCGGTGGAGATTTGGCTTGGGAGAAATCACTTGGAAGGACTCAAGCCCGTTCTTTATGAACGATGTCACAAACTCGGAAAACACCGAGCTAATTGGTCCCTCTGTGCATGCAGGGCAGGGAGGCTGAACACCCTGCTCATTCCTTGAGTGAGCAGAGTAGTAAAGCCGCTCTCCGGCCAGGGCAGATTTCCCCTGTTCGCTTCGACGGCTCTGGCACAGACAACTGCAGTCTCCAGCAGTTTGGCTGACACCATACACGTGTGCTACCCATGTCAAGCAAACATGGGAGAACAGCAAATCTTCCTGTCTCTGATTTTTTGGCATCAGAGCCTTAGGGGACAATAGGGCTGGAAGAATTATGTCTTGCTCCTTCCTGCTGCAGTACAGTTTCTGGCTCCCAGTCCCTGATGGTTGTCTGGTTTTCCCTTTCTTTCTCTTTCCAGCACATCCTCGAGCCGAAATGAATTTGCTAGTCTGATACAAGCCAACAAATGTATTTTCACGGCAACGTGACAGCCTTCTCCGTGTTTCGCCACGCCTGCATTTGCTGTCTTGGTAGCATAGTGCCGTGGTGGCTGTGCTCAGTGCCTGTACATCAGCTCACAGCAAGCCATTGGCACTCTGCTTCCTTGCTCCTCCCTGAGGAGATGGGCATGTGTCTGAGAGATCCCTCAGCAACAGTTTCTGAATTTACCCATCTCGGGAATGTCCCCAGAGAATAAAGCTGAGCTAACAGGAGATGGTGTGGTTTGGTTTTGCCAGGAAGCTTTGTTGGCTGGAATCTGATGCTGCAGTTTTGCTAAAAGACCTCCCAGAAACCTCCCTCTGGTGCAGGGGGGATCAGTACCCTGGCTGGCTGGGTACCAGCGCTAGGGGATGGTCCCCTCTGCAGAGGATCTGTCCCACTCACCTGCGGCAGGGTGCAGGGGACGGGAAGGACAAAGCAGCTGGGGCAGGAGCATGCTTCTTGCAGACCGGCCTTGTGTTTTGTGCAGCCTGTATCAGCTGCCCAGCCTTCCTTCAGCATTGTTTAAATAACGTACCACGTTTGATGACGGTACCACAGCAGATCCATGAATGTTTCCAGGGCGAGCATATTTCGGCGAAGCTGGTGCTGCTGTAGACCGTGTCTTAGGGTGCATGGGGTGAGTAGGAGGTGATTGGGGACAGTAAGCTCCTGCTCTCCTCTTCTGCACAGGATCATTTGGGGAGTGAGATGTTGTGGAATAATGCTAGACCTTTGGCGTCTGTGTCAGTGGTTTGAATCTGGCTGGGATCAGTGGTGATCAAAGCTCTTTTTAAAGTGAGGGAGGTGAAGCTGTCCATCTGGTGGAATGGTCTGGCCTCAGGAGCAGCAACACCAAGAACTGAAAGGACCTTAAAGGTTTGGGGTGATGGTTTTTCCAGCTTCCTTGCTAGTGATCAGGCGATGCTTTACAATCAAAGGCCCTCTCCCTTCAGCTGCTCCAAAGATGGGGAATGGCAGAAAGGGGAAAGGAGGGAGAAGATATTTCAAAATTGGCAGAATCCCGCTCTCCGCTTGGCAGTGGGCATTGGAGTTCAGCGAGAAAAGCTGTGTGTGGGTGAAGGGAGGGAGGGGGAGTCTGTTTGCACGCTATCGCGCTGGCAAGTGTGACGTGGGGGGGGCTTGAGAGGGTGGTAAGTGAGTGGGAGTGGGGAAGTGAGGAGGCGTGGGTTGTTGAGCAAACACAGCGAGGGTGCGCGCAGAGAGGTTTGCATCGTGCTGCTGATTTTGCCAAAATAACACAGAAGATGGTGGGTGTGGTGTGAGCTGGTTAGGTCTCGCTGCTGTTCCCTGCGGGCTTAGGGTCCTCTATCCTGGTGCCTGACCTTAACTGGCTTTTGCCATGGGCATGGTGAACACCCGGCATAGACTTTTTCCTCCCACCCCTAGTGATAGTCCAGGTGAAGAAAGATGGATGAAGGCAGACTTGAGGCTGACACTTGCACTGCTTGCTGGTCATCCCATCCCTGACTGTGGCTTCAATGGAGGGCTGCAGCCTCCAGGGTTTTCAGGCTGTCACTTTTCATATGGCAGAATTCATGCACATCCTTAAAAAAAAACCCCAAACGCTGGTTTTGAGTGACCCTCATCTGCCCCTGCTTTTAAATGCAAGAACATGCATCCGAACACACAACCTGGCTGCCACTCACTCTATCAGGAAGAGCTGCACAACCTGAAATAGCCCCTGTCAAATCAGATGGGCAGCTGGAGCAGAAGCATTCAGTACATTGATCCGGCAGCTGAGCTGTACCCGTCGTGCCGTGGGACAGATCTGCAGATACAGAGAGACTGCTCTGTCATTGCCACGGCGGTGCGGGAGCCACTGCCCAGGTGAGCAGGCTGCAGCCAAACTGCCGTGCAGTGGCTGCTGCTTATTTCACAGAGTTGCACAGAATAGCAGAGGACCTCTGGAGATCATCCAGTCCAACCCCTGCGCAAAGCAGGGTCACCTCTAACTGGCTGCTCAGTACCACATCTGGATGGGTTTCCGATGGGGCAAGCATCTGCATCAGCGCTAATGCTGACGGGTCTGCAGTGGGGGTAATAGCTGGTGGTCAGGTGGGTCCTGAATGTTGAACACTGATTTCAGCTTTCTAGAAAACCCTCTAAGCATGAGGGCAGTGTAAGAAACAGTTTTCCCTGACCTTGGCCACAGTGTCCATGCTCTGTGGGCACCACTGGTGAGAATGATGCTCTCGTGTGCACCAGGGGATGTAGCATCCAAGGTGCTGTTCAAGTCAGAGAGTCCTGCTCCTGGAAGAAATCCCAGCCTTGTGCTCCTAGAGCTGTCCTTCAGGCTTGTTTTCCATGTGTTTGACACATGGCCTTACGCCACTTGGACTTTCTCACTGTGTTTTGTTTCTGTAGCTTGACAGGAGGTTGTGAATCACTGTGGAGCCGGAGCAGGGCCAGTCTCCCGGCTGGTATCCCGTGCTGCGGGAGGCTTTGACGGGATCCTCTCTGCCCAGGCTGAGGACTGACGTCAGGCCCCATTCATCACCATTAGCGCCGAGATGAGCCTTGTCAGCATCCGCAGCGAGGAGGCGGCTGCCTCCTCCGGACTGGCAGTCCCTGCAATTTGCTTCCTAAAGCTGCTTAATTGTTGTTCCTCTTCAGGAGCCCGGCTCAGCCCCCGTGTTTAACATCCTTTCCAGTGGCAGCGTGAGCCTGTCTGCTAATGCAGGCAGATCCCACGGTTAATGCCAGGTATGGTGGTGGCAGCTCATGCTTTTATCTCAGACACCAGCCCACCTGGGCTTCCTCTCGCCTAGCGAGTTTGGCCTTGTTTAAGCAGTGTTTTGTTAAAGAGGTGTCTGTCTCTACTCCCAAAATGCCCTGGGTCTTTTTCTAAGCCTATTTCACGCTGACATTTATAGCTGCAACTGTGCTGGAAGGATGAAAATGAAGCAGTGTTTGCCCCTTCTTCCCCCCATCCTTTGCCTCTTGTTTTCCCTTTCTCCAGGACCCAGTTGCAGACAGAGTGCAAAAGCACAAAGCAAAATCCATTTCTTCCCCAGTGCCTTGCTTAACCTATAAAATGCCAACTCCTACCGATGCTCAGATGGGGAGGGCTGGAGAGCACCCAGGTTTGCAGAGCTCCTCTGTAACTAAGACACGCCGACCTCAGTGAATCACAAGAAGTTTTGTGAACATCAAGAAGCAAAGTCAAAAGCATGAAATGGATGATATTCATGCAGAGAATACATTGCATGCCATTCCCAGATCAAAGTTTATTGCTGTCAGAAATCACCTCTTAACTTGCATGACTTCTGAGCCCGCAGAGAGAGTCTTTGGCAGAGCACAGCCCCGGCTAAAGCCACAAGGAGCTGGGTCTCTGCTGCACAGAGCTCTGGCACAGGAGAAAGCAGATGTGCATGTGCGCAGGTTAGAGCAGGCTGCGAGCTACTGTAGCTGTGATGCCGACAAAAGTCCTGAAAGGACAAAAGTTGACCGGGCAGGGAATGAGTAGAAGGAAATTAACTCTAATGAAATAGCAGGACCCTCTGGAGATGAGAGAAGGGACCTGGGCACAAAACCTGTGTGCCCAGGGAAGGCAGCTCTGCTGTGCTGAGTTTCTGCGCCATAGGCAAAGGGAGGGGGATGGATTTGCATTATATTTTGTATAGGGAAGAGCAGCTTTCAAGATGCTGCTGCATACATGGTCTGGAAGGGTCCCAAAGGACGATAGTTGAGGGAATAACTGGAGTGCACAGAGTTCCCTGATGGCATCCTCATCCCACCCCTGAGAAGGTGGGGGCAGGCAAGGGATGGTGACTTAGCTGGGTAAATCTGGGGGCCGCTCTGCTCCTTTCAGCAGCACCTTTATATTGGCCCCTGGATGGGAGTGGAAACCTCCTTAGAGCTTTTGCGTGAAGCACCTTTGATGTGGCATATTTACCATCTATTTAGTCTACGACTTTGCTGGTAGAATTATATTCAGTTTGGAGAACTGGGAGAAGAAATCTGTTGTCAGAATAAGCTGTATCTTCATGAGGGGCTTTGCTGGGAGAACTCTCCCCAGGACAATAGTACCTGCAAACCCTTTTAAGCATAGATAAGAGAGGTTTAGGAAGCTTCAGGCTTTTCTTGCGGATAAAATTCCTCACATGCCATGTTCTATATATGAACTGATCCCATCTTAGTAATCTGATGGTGTTTACATAGGGCTCAACTGCTCATGCACCACGTTGTGATTATTGGTGCCTTTTGAAAACCCTGTGGGTAAATGTCTGGCTAGGCAGAAATTCTTCCTAGCTCATAATTCATTCCAGCCTGAACCTCCTAGGAATCTGTAATAGCTGCTTGGAAACAATGCAAAAATCTGGCACTGGGCTTGTCCAATAAAGCAGTCCCGCATGGACTGTGAAATATCACCACCTCCGAGACCTCCCTTACTAGGCAGGCTTGCAGATCACCTTGCCTTTCTTTTCCCTTTTCCTTCATCCTGTGGGCTCCAGCAGTGCTGCTTTTCCCTCTTGCCACTCCAGCCTTTCACTGGCCCTTCCTCCCTGCCTGCCTTTAAGTGGGCAAGTCTACTGGGGGCAGAGGCGGGGGAAAGACCCCCTCAGCAAAGCTCTGCCAAGAGGTCGTTAGTCCTCTTTCTCTTAAGGAAAATAAAACAAGAGCAGCAAGCTCAGAGAGCATGGTAACAGTGATGCACCCACAAATTTGCCTTTGTGCGGTGCGTTTACAACTGGTGCATGGATCCAGGGAGATAAGCTCCATGTTTCACTGGGTCTTTGGGCCTGATGGTGCCTTGGCTTTTGCACAGACCTTATGAAGCTCAGGGGCAACAAGTGCAAATAGCTTTTCTTTCTCCCTCCTTCTCTTTTTCCACTGACCTTATGAAACTCAGGGACAACAAGTGCAAATAGCTTTTCTTTTGCTCTCCTCTTTTTCCACTTGCATAATCATCATCCTGCAAAGCAGGCAAACAAATGTGTAAGGGAATGGAGAAGGTTTCATTTTTACAGAAAGCAATTACAGACATTAAAAGAGCTATAGTAATAAAAATAATGTTTAAAATTCAAGTCCCTTATCTATATTACAAGGGTATTAACATTGGAAGAAAGTATTTTTATTTTTTTCCCCAAATCTCATTTGCTTTCCAAGTCAACCTGGAAATTTTCATGCCAGTCTTCTGAATTTTTTTGGAGACTGATCTGCAATTTTGGAAGTTCGAGGTTGGCAGGCTTGTAAACTTCATGACTCAGGATACAGAGGTAATGATGCTGCTTTGTTATTCTTTGCTACCTATGGCACTTGCAAGTAACAGTCTTGTCTGGAAGGGGACAGCTGTGTTCAAGAGGGACTTTGGACGGGGGAGGTTGTATCTTCTTTACATCAGTACAGTATTTATTGTCTCGATGGCTCCTGTTTTGCCCAGTCTTAAAGCATTCAACAAATAGAAATGGCTTGTGGGCAGGGGCTGCCACTTTGTTTGCTGCTAGTACAACTCCTCACTGGGAGCTTTGTGCTTTTCCAGCCTGTAAGTGTAGAGATGAAAATGCCCAGGTGAGGAAAGAAAGAACGGGGAGAATGGTCCGGAGCACAAGGTGGGTTAAACTTTGGAGTGTGTTTGAGCAGGACTATGTGAAACCCCCCCAGGGAGAAGGATGCGGGAGCACAGTCCAAACTAGTGGGCATCACCAGCAGAACTCCCACCATTTCCACAGAGCCTGGGTTTTGCCCCACAGCAAATGCACCCCGTCCCAGAAAGATGGGACATCCATCCTCCAGGAGCAGGTGTCGTGTGTGGTCCTGGGCTTAGCTCTGCTGCTTTCCCTGCCCTGTGCCTTTCCCGGGCCCAGGGTCCTGATCTTCTCTGCTATCCTTTCTCTCTCTAGAAAGCCGATTTGGCCGTGGCGGGGCTGACGATTACTGCGGAGCGGGAGAAGGTGATTGATTTCTCTAAGCCGTTCATGACTTTGGGAATTAGCATTCTCTACCGAGTTCATATGGTAAGAGACTTATTTTATAACCATTTATATTCCTCCATTATTTGCATGCAAACGTGCCTAGTTATAGAAGAAAAATGAATGACTCATAAAAATATTTTGGTTTCTTATTTAAAGGCAAATGTGCTCAACCTTTATTTCCTTCTTTTTTCTGCCTTTTGTCGGCTTGGATTCAAATCCTGTTGTTCAAACCCCCATCCCTCTTGGCTCCCCTTCCCCATCCTGCCCGGGCACACAATGCTTCCTGGCATGGTGGGAGGCCATGAGCAAAGCCGTGCCAGATCCGTGCTACCAGGGGAAGTGTCGGTAGATGTCAGCTTGTCTGCTTCTGCTTCGGGCCCAGCGAAAGCCATCGGATGGCTTTGAGCCCACTGTGGCGAGATGTGCTAAGGGCAGGATAAGCTGGATGGGTGCAGCAGCCCAGCTGGGCAGCTCCACAACTGCAGCAAACCTGGCTTGGAGTCACCATCCTCTTGCTGAGCTAGGACATCTACGGGTGCACCTAGTTGGTGTCGGGGCCCAAATGCCCTAATCTCAGCCGTATTCCCAGCCTCCATGGCATGCAGCCTTGCTGCCTTCTCACATCTGAGAATAAGATCAGGCCAGGACCATATCTGGGATCAATTTCTTTGCTGAGACCTCCTGTAAATGCTCTACATGCAGATCAGTCCTCTGCTTTCTTAATCACAGGCAGGAAAAGGGAAAAATGGCACTTCTTGAGTGGCCCAGGGCACTGCCCCGGAGCAGGCAGGGCGGCAGACTGAACTCCGCCGTGGGCAGCTAGCTCCTTGCCCTGCGTGGGCTGTTTTGCTGCTCTCGGCCCTTCTCATTTGCCTTCTCTCAGTTGTTCACCCTAAAGATCAGCGGGCCCTGCAGCCCAAGGAAGGCTCCTTACTCTTAGGGTGCTCCCTGCCTTGCACGGTTACTCTCAGACCCCTTTGCTTCTGCATTGGCCAGGGAGGAGCGAGAAGGGAGGCACGCTGATGTTTAGCAGCTCTGGTTGTTGCTCCGCCGCATTCAATTATCTTTTGCAACTCCGGTGGCAGCAGCGGCATGGTTAGCCGTTGCCACCCGAGAGGCAGGTCAGGCATTACATGGTGGCTGTTCAGCAACACAGGGTCCTGTGGCTCGGAGCGGAGCAGCTGTGAAACATGTGCAAGCACGTACATCATGTTGTGTCGTGTCTTTGCTCAGACAACACTTGTTGTCTTAAATTGTTGTAGATTCTCTTGCATTCCCATTTTCCATTGTTCTAGCTTCTTCCTAGGCTCAGGAGAGGACAGATTTTCCCCAGGTATGCCCATATGGGCCCGGCAAAGGCCTTGGTTCCCCAGTGTTACAGGAGACAAGCTCTGGCAGCCAAGTCCTTTGCAACAGGATGTCATGTTATTCCCAATCTGCATTTTGGAAATGTGCTCTGTACAGTGCTGAGTGTGATGTGAATTACAGTCTTGGTTTCCTATCAGCTCAACAATAGCAGCCAAACAGATAAAACAATTAAAGCTGTCTCTCCCAGCTCCCCCCACCCCCAGTCCGTTCCGTGGGCTGTTAAGGATGCAGGGTTTGGTACAAACATAAACACACTTGCTCATACATCTCTCTGTGCTGAGTGGCTCCTGCCAAGAACAAACAAGTAATTAAAATCTAGTTAAAATTCTGTTTCCTCTGGTACATGCAGAATTTAGGATCAATGATTTAACTGATCAAAAAGGGTGAGACTCTTCAACTCCTGGAAATCAAATATAACTGTCCCTTCCCAACTACACTTGCTTTTTCACACCACCAGCTGCCCCGTGGATCCAGGAGGCATTTCTGCCAGCGTCTCTTGGCTGGGATTATAATCGAGTTTCTTGCTTTCTCGCATGCATTTTTAAAGTTTGAGGATTGAGTACCATGCATGCTCTGCCTCTGATTTACACCATAACTTTCAGCAAGTCCCTTAACAAGGCATCATTCCCTGAACGGCATGAGGCTGGTGTTGTTCCCTCCAGAGGAGACACAGGAATATTGGTGCAGGTTTTGCATGCGACCTGCTTTGTAAGTGCAGGGCATTTGCTGCTGCCTCTGTGCGAGCTCGATATAAATGTGTCTGACACATCCACTTAGAGTGTAAGTTCTTCAGGGCAGGGACCATCTGCTGCTTGCACTTGTACCGCAGTAACGCAACACAGCCATGTTCCAACCCGCCCTTCAGGCATTTACCAAACTGAACAGGATTAATAATTACAGTTTTAAATAGTGTTTGGCAAATAATCCTCGGCCATCAGTCAGGACTTGGTCTTCAGCTGCCCGACGAAGGACTCAGTTAGGACTTTGAGTAGGGAAGCTGCCCAGTGACCAAGGCAGGCTTGCAAAGGAGATGCAGGGCATCTCCCAGGTCAGGTCACCCTGCAGCGAGCCCTGCTTTGCTGCATCGAGGCCATGAGGAGCAATGGCAGGGGCAGCCTGGGCTCATGCCCTCCCCAGGAGCAGGGAGGTCTCCTCAGCAGGGAAGCTCAGAGCCCCCTCTCTTCCCTCTCCAGCACTCGGCCCCTCTTTGTCCAGACCTTTCCTGCTTAGCTGGAGGAGAGTGTCTGAGAGCTGTGTGCCAATTAACTTATTAAACTGGTAAATATTTATTTAACAAGGAAAGGCAAGGTAGCTAATTGCTCTGGTTTTCCTTTAAGGATGTCGTTTGCAGAGCAGCGGAAGGCAGCCCCATAGCCCCATCTGCTCCTATCCTACATCTCTGCAATGGCAAAAATTGCAGCTGACGTATGTTAATCATGGTACAGATCAGGTGTAGCCTAATAAATAAGCACAAATAAATCTCTTGCTGAGGAGTTACCTCTGTGCCCTGGTCTCCTCCCAGTGTGATGACATTTTCTTTTAATTTCCATGTAACTCCAGTGGCAAGTGATTTCTCCCCCCTTTCTCTTCCCCACCCCACCAACCCAGCCACCACAGTGCGTGCGTCTCTTATCACACATAACCAAATATGGCAGTTTTAAATGGGGCTGTCATTTTTCTCAATTTCACTTGTTGTGATATAATCAAATACGGATTTCTGACACGAGGACTCATAATAGGCTTTCTGACTTGCAGGCTGCTAAGAGGAAAGACTTGCTTTGTTTTATTAAGTTCCCATTCTGACCAGCTGGTGGGACCTGTGGAAGGCAGGAGATAGAGGATGAGTCCTGAGCAGTCACTCTGCTTGGCAGAGGGCTGAAATCAGGTGCCCAGTGCTGTTTCTGCACAGAGGGATGCTGAAAGTCAGGTTTATTTGTAGCACACACGTGCTTTTACTTACATACCTGTTTCTATGGCAGGCAACAAGGGACTAGCTAGCACATGATTCTGGCTCATCAGCCCCGAAAATCCTTACTGTGCTCTACCTTAAGATGAGAAAATGTAGATTTGGTGAGTGCGCTGGAATAGCTGAGTTCAGGCCGAGTGAACTGAGGCTTAAAGTGTTTCTACTTGCTTGCTGCAGAAGACCCGAAATAGGAAGGACCGAATGAATAGCTCCTTCATTCCAGCCAGAGGAGGCTTGACAGCCAAGGCAGAGGAGCTGAGTACCCTTCCTGAGAGCCCATGCTGCTCTGCCAGCAAGCCTTCTGCTTCACTGAAGCAGGGATGGGAGCAACTGCTGGCCCCAGGCATGCCCAGGACCATGGTAGGCATTGGCCTGGTTTTAGGCTCAGGATTCACAGCAGTCTATGCTTGGGTTTTGCTTATCGACTCCAGAGAAAGGACTCTGGAGAGGGAGGGATCTAGGTCTTCATCTGGATCAGACATGGTCATCCCAGGATATACACACTTTGTTTTGGTAAGACCAAATGCACTGCAATTGTACCTAGCACATGTCAACATTTCTGCCTTTCCAGGCTTAGTTTTCTTGCTTTCCTTCTGACTTAGAGCCAAAAGAGAGTTCTCTTGCCTGCGTTTTTTAGGGACAAACGTCTATGAGAAATTACATCAGCGGGGTTGACTCTGAGAAGGAAGAGGCAAACACTGGGGTCCCTTCAGAGTGTGTGTGTGTGTGCAGGGCAGGCAGGGAGTCGTAATGGCTCTTACAGACCTGAACACAGACAAATCCAGGACCACGCCATATAGCTCCGCGCCTCCTCCTCTTCCCAGATGTCCTGCACGTTCAGGCTCTTCAGTCACCAGTATCTGCCCGGAAAACTGGTTCTCTGGCTGAAAATTAAGACTTCCAAGAACGACTGAGGAGAGTAAATGAATCTCTCCTGTTTCCATCTAAGGATTTGCAGGAGGCCTTCATCAATTATTGGACATTTTGAACATTTCTATTCCAGGAGAAATAGCTCTTCCAATTAACAAAGCTGTATTGGGACTGGCTAAAAATATCTGACAGACTCCAGATACTGTCATTCCCATCTTCAAAACAGACAGATAAGAGAGAGTTTGTGCCCTCCGTGGGAACAGAATATCTTTATTCTTTTCCACAACTGTGAATGAAAAGAATATGTAACAGCAGCCTGAAAACGACTGTAGCTGAAAAGAAACAGAACTACTACTACTGTAAAGTCACAGGAGAGAGTCATTGCCAAGCCTGAGAGTTAAAGCTTCCAACGTAATTTCCTTAATGAGCGTAATTTATTGACAAACTGCCCCAGAAACATAGAGAAGACATCAAGGCCTTAATTACAGAAAGGAACTTTGTTACAGGAGCATCTCACAAGGGAGCCTCAGCCGAGGCACTGCCAGTGCCTGGGAGTTTCCTGCCAGCTCTGGGATGCCAGGGAGCGATAAGCCATCTGGAACGATCTTCAGCTCGAGAAGCTCCAGTTTGCTTGGCTGAGGGCAGACGGTGCCCTTCACACCTTGCAGGTTTCCATCGTCTCATTTCATTCTTGAGTGTGTAAACACCTGTGGAAGAAAAGAGGCAGCTGAGCCGGTTTAGCTCTAGATGAAGAAGGGAACCAGGGGCCCGTGGGGCATCCAGGAGAGCAGTTGCTACAGAGAAGAGCTTTGGCAATGCCTGCCTTTGGCTTCCTGTTGGCATCGAGAAGTCCATGATCCTCAGGCTGGGATCAGCAAGAAGTGCAGAGGGAATGCACCTTGCAGCCTGCAGACTAGTGAAATGGTCTCACCTCTCTAAACTAGTGAGAGGAGCTCCAGCAAGGTGAGCAAAGGATGTTACTGGAAATGTGAATCCCTCCGGGATGTTGGGTGTGTAGTTTCCAGCAGTGACTCTGGCTCTGAAGGCCCTTGGTTTGGGTGCAGATGCTGGCTGTAGTAGTTATTTGTCTCTCTCTGGGTTTACGGGAAGAATAGAAGGAAAAGGAGAACACAGCAGCAATTGACCAAAGAAAGGGAAAGGATAAAAGAAGAACGTAGTATCTTTCACTGTTTGTACCTCACCTGCTTATACCAAGCACAGTAAAATAACGCACTGTGGAAGAGACCTTGTCTTAAAGAGACTCTGGAATTATGCCCAGGAGAACTTGAACCTTTGCTTGGGAAGTGCCTTTAAATGAATCTGAAAAAGGACACAGAATGGTCTGAACCACTGATTCTTAACTCATCTCATTTGTTAAAAGGCTTAATAAGCCAGATTCTCTAAAAATCCTAATGTAGATCTCAAGCTGAAACTCATCTAGTCCTTAAGGATACAGGGATAGGATGTTATGGGGGGGTGGTTCTTTACTTCATGCAGGGCAGAGTTTGCTGTAGAAGGTTTCTGAGATGTTACAGTCCCAGCTGGTGACTGGAGCTGGGAATATCACAGTATCCTAGATATTTTTAGTAGAGAAAGATTTTTCTGCAACAACTGTTGCCTTTTCTAGCAACAACTTAGTCCTCAAAAGCACTACCAAGACCCTGTGAAATTCAGGTTTTGCATAAGATTAGGAATACTTCAGTAGTAAAACAGTGTTTTTTAATGGAAATGGAATTTAAAGTGCTGATCTGAATCTAGGGAAGAAAAAAAAAAAAAGGCAGCAGCTACGTTTCCTGGGGACTTTTGTGAAAACAGAAAATTATTCACCGCCTTTGGATGAAACACAGCTCTAAAATATCAGGACTCTAGTCTTTGATGGCTCTGTGTTTGCTATGGCGATTGAGGTTAGGTGTTATTTATTACCAGCTATTATTAGTTTATGTGGTGTCACAGACAGGCAGGGTAAGGCAGCGGACTAGGGAAAAATGAGGCCTCTGTGTGTCAAAGATGATCCCCAGCAGCAGCTTTTGTGTAAAGCGAGCAACCTACAGCGGAGCAGCTGCCGTGCTGCAAGTGCTGGGAAACGGCTGCTGGAGTGAGCTGCATTGAGCAAACAGTGATAGATGTTTTCAGCACACAACAGAGCAAGGTGCCAGCAAGAAATACACTGACAGCCTGGCCAAGATGTGATAAAAGGCTGTTTCCACTCTGACTTTACAGTAAAAGCCTTTGCAGGAACTCTGACTCGTGGGCAGCTTCCCGGTTACGGGTGCTTGCAGAAACTGTCGAGCTTGAGGCGTTTTGTGATGCCAGAACTGACTTCATGGTTTGGGGCAGAAGATGCAGGCTCCTGTGAGCTAAGGGTTCGTATTCCCACAGGGTTAATGCAAGCCTTTTAGCCCTGCGCTGGGAGTTGCATGCTTTTGCTGGGAGTCTTTCAGAAGAGACGGTAAGGAAAGAAGATGCCTGAGGTAGATGAGCATTGCCCGAACACTTGCAGCGTTCGGGTGGAAGAGGTGTGTCAGGGGTGCACAGTGCTGAAACAAAGCCCTTTCTGTTCCACATGGATATTATAAATTGCACAGAGAGCAAAAGAATACTTCTTTAGTCCTGTGGCTTGCGCTCTGTTTTCACCTCTCCCCTTTCCCCCACGGTGGCATTGAGTGTGCTCGGAGGTAAATTACCGGCTGCTCTTTCCACCCTGGAGGAGGCTGTGTTGCAGAGGAACTTCATGCACAGAGCTGGTGGTGGCAGGAGAAGTACACTCACCAAAATGGGAAGCGTTCAGCTTTTGAGAAACTTGTCCTAGAAATTAATCCTCCCTTTGCGCAAAGTTTGCTACATTTGACAAGATTTCAGTGGTGGCAGTGTCTTTTCGAAAATTTAAGGTACTTTGAGAGAAGATCAACCTGCTTTTTCTAGCAGTGAGGCCTTACGTTTCAAGGAAAGGTGGTTTGCTGAGAAAAAAACAGGAAATTCTGACGCATCCTGGAGATAAAAATATCATGTTCCCTGAGATAAAAGTAATAATTTGAGTTTTGTAGAGAAGAAATGTTTCAAGGCTGAAGAAAGAAAACCAGAAATGTTGCAAACGTCTCTTTTTTTTTTATTTTTTTTCTGCGCAAAAATATTTTCTCCCCACTCTGCTTCGTGCAAAGGATCCCACCCACCTCCGAGCTCCTGCCCAGCAAGCGTGGTGTGCGGCCTGCTTGGGTGGACAAAGGCTGCATATGGGGACTCTGGGTGCAGCACATCCTACCATGGGGAGGGCAGAGCACTGCGATTGTCTTGAATTTTGCTATCAATTCACCTCTTTCTTTGCCTGGAGTAACAAAAGCGGTTGAGGTGGGGAGAAGAATAGTCTTAGGAGATGAATCCCAGCAGGGAGATGCTGCAGGACTCGGTCGCTGTCACCAGTTTCCCTGGAAGGCTTTTGCAAAGCCCCGTTCACTTTATTTCTCTTCTGTTGCTGCCATCCGTTGTCAGCATCATGGCAGGTGTGTTTGTTTCTGTTGTTTTCAAATGGACTATTTAATTTGTAGAAATACAAGCAGGTCAAACTCGTTTTTGTTTCCCTTCCAGGGCCGCAAACCTGGTTACTTCTCATTCCTGGATCCCTTTTCCCCTGGTGTCTGGCTCTTCATGCTGCTCGCCTACCTGGCTGTCAGCTGCGTCCTCTTCTTGGTTGCTCGGTACTGTGCCTGGCGATGCCTTTTCCTTCCTCACGGTGCCATCTAGCGTCACGCTCCCAGACCCGGGGGTGGGATGCGTGGTGAGGGGCTGGGCAGGGGGACATGGGGACATCCCTCAGGCCACCACTGTGGAGGGAGCAGTAAGGGAGGCAGAAGCATCCCAAGCCCCTTGACCTCCACCAGCTGGGCACTGGGGCTTGGCCGCTGAGTGCCGGTGCGGGCACGTCACCAATGCATATGGCAGCCCCGGGATGGCCGTTGGCACGGCTGTGACGTGGTGGGCAGGAGCAGCGTGCCGCGATTCAGGAGTGTGCTTGGCCACAGCGGTGGGTGCCAGTGCTGAGAGCGGAGTGGGAAGGGTGGGAGGACGTTTGGGAGTCGGGCTAGTGCTGTGGAAATGGTGCTGCTCCCTGTAGATGCTTGATCTGCAACAGATAAAACGACAGCTTATCTTGAACAGGAAGGGTGGAGGCTGGCAGGTACCGGCAAGTGCATTCAGAGATACTAACGCAAATTCCAGTAGTGATTGGTTCCTCTGGCCCTGTAAAACCCAATGTGTACAGAAAAAGAAAGTTCATTAATATCTTTCAACAGCCTTTTGGTTGATGTGCAGAGCCTCACTTGACAGCTCTCAGTTCCATTTCCCTATGACTAATTTAAATCAGCCTTAAAATATATCACTGAATGGTTCTCTGCCGTGTGTCTCCCATCGAGACCCAGCGTCCATGCTCCATTCCTGTTTTCCCTGACTTCCTAACAAACTGCTTATGGTTGGTGGCATAAACGGACCTTTTCAGACAGAGTTGGACTGTGTCCTGGCAATGTGTACCAAAGACGTGCTCAGGGCTTGACGGCTCTTTCAGGACATGGTTAATACCCAATTCTCATTACAGAAATTGGAACTGTGCCGTCACTCGGTCCCTTAGCATGGCTAAAGTTGTCATCCTGACAGGGCTTTAATGGTTTCTTCGAATGCCATTACAGCCTCAGAAACATAGTTCTGAAGAAACCATTGAATAATGCGGTCTGATGCTCTCTGCAGACCGAGATTTGGTGCCTTTTTAGCCCCCTTCTCACGTTTTAAACATGATCCTCCAAAAAGGTGCCTTTATGTGGCTTCCCACTGGAGACAGAGGTTTGGACCCTGCTCTCTGCCTTGCTTAGCAGTAAGGAGCTTTTGACCCTATGAATTGCAGAAAACTCTCCCAGAGCAGTGTTTTTTACTGCCAGTGCTCAATCCAACCATAGAAAGTCTTCAAGAAATAACCTCCACCTCCCTGGCATCCAAGTGAGGCAGGAGATGCAGAAATGAAAATAAACACCTCGTTTTGGTTAAATGCTGTGTAAGCTGGTGGAGCCCTGCAGCTGTATTGGCAGTATCCCCAAAATGACCCTCCCAGGCACCAGCTTTGTTAACCATTAGCAGTATAATGAGCTGCAGCGTAGGAATTAGAAGACTTTCTTAGCAACCACGGTACTACAGATTTGAAACAGCAAAAAAAGAGAGCTAGGCTACAGTCAGTTCAGTGGCAGGCTGTCAGTTATTTCAGATTCCCACCTCTGTCCTGTGCCTGTGAGCACTGAGAGTATGTGATGCTTTGAAACACCGGCACTTGGCTTCAAACTAGACCTGAGACCTAGACCTTGCCAGGGCAATCAGACCTTCTCAGAGCAACCATTTGCATCAATACAGTTATTTTTCTTGATTGTGTAATGCAGTCAGGTGTCACACACTTCACTTTTGAACGTTCCGTTGATGCGTATTCTCCAGGAGGGAACGCAGCCAAAGATGTTTGATTTCAATTTCACATCAAGTCCATGCACATCTGGAATTATTGTTGTGGTTGTCTGTGGTACAAATTTGCACGTAGGGCTCCAGCCTTCCCACAGCCCATGCCCAGATTTTCAGCAAAGCCTCTCAAAACTTTTGCAAATCTTTACAAGAAAACCTCTGACTTCTGAGTCTTAGAGCAAGCATTTCACACAGCTCTGAGCCCTGGGCATCAATTGACAGCAAAGAGTTTCCTCCTTAGAAAAATCTGCCTGCAGGAGAGTTAGGGCTTCACAGCTTTTCTTTTTTTTTGCCTTTTTTTCCTCCAAAGTGCCCTATTTCCCAGGGAATTACCTGAGCTACCTGTTTCTTGTCACTTTAGATTGACACCGTACGAGTGGTACAGCCCCCACCCCTGCTCGCAAGGCAGATGCAATCTTCTCGTGAATCAGTACTCTCTCGGCAACAGCTTGTGGTTTCCTGTCGGGGGATTCATGCAGCAAGGCTCCACCATTGCCCCCCAAGCATTATCCACGCGCTGTGTCAGCGGAGTCTGGTAAGGAGGTCAGCCCTCCTCTTAAGGAAGGCTTCTCTGTGGGTCTTTTCTGGGCGGAAGCAGGTGGGGATGGAGATCAGATTCAGTCCATGGGGAAATCTCAGGTCACCATCTTCGCTTCCCCTTTCCCTAGGTGGGCATTCACCTTGATCATCATCTCCTCCTACACAGCCAATCTGGCTGCCTTTCTCACCGTGCAGCGGATGGACGTCCCCATCGAATCCGTAGATGACCTGGCTGACCAGACAGCTATTGAGTACGGCACCATTCACGGTGGCTCCAGCATGACCTTCTTCCAAGTAAACCCCATTCTTTTGCTAACTGGGGCAGGGGGTGCGGAGGGCACCCTTTAATCAGATTTGGATGTCACCCCAGCCTGTCATGCCTGTTTCATTCCTGTTTCTGGCACAGAGGGGACCTTTGGAGAGACCCCTGGCTGCTTGGTTGCACAGGACTGGGCTAGATCCACAGCAGGTGATGATGGGATGAATGGTAGGGGAGGCATGGCAGAGGACAGGGAAGGCAGGATTTTGTAACACAGCACCTGGCATGCTCTTGGGATGCTGGATGACTAGGGTCAGGACATCTGTGCTGGACCCCAGGGCATCAGACTTTCCTGCTTGGACTTGGAAAGCAACTTAACACTTGGAATGTCAACACGTGAGTGGGAAAGTGGTACACATCCCTGTGTCACAGTGAGGACATAACATGGTCTTCAGCAGATGAGCATTTGCAGTCAAATTTCCATGGGTCGCTGTGTGGTTTTGATATGATCTTAGCTTTACATGAGAGTCTCAAGTTGGGTAAGCAAAGAAACATTTGCAAACCCCAGGTAGGCTAGCATATGTCAAAGGGCCGGGGTCTGTATGTGGTCAGTGGCACTGAGTGGCACTGAAAACAAGTCAAGTGTATGCAAACTTATGCGGGCCGTTTAGCTCAATTTAATTTTTATCTTCCCTGCTCTATTCAGAAGGGAAATAAATGAGTGAATCTTTTCTGCAGTGCTCTGAATGTACAAAGAACTGCTTGAGGATTATTTATTTATTACTTGTTGAAATTCCGAGAGGAGAGAAAGCTTTTCTCGCTTTTTCTCCCCTCTGAGTCTGAACTGAATTGGGAAGCCTGAGAAATCTCTCGAGTGAGCCTGAGCTTTTCAGCCCAACTTTTCACCCTTCAGAGGTTTGGCAAAAAGCTACTTTTAAGCGGAATGTTACGTCTAAAATGAGCTGCAGAGCCCAAGTGACTAAGATGGTTGTATATGAGGCACTCGCTTAGTTCTTTTTGGGAAGGCTTTCAAGTTTAAAATCCTGACTGTGGCTCTGCACTGCCTGTTGGGTGCCGAGGTCGCTGGTATCAGAGAATAAATCAGCAAAAGATGTTCTTGTGCTGTTTGCAACACTTTAAACTATGTTGGGATCCATTTGCCTCTGGTGTAGCGATGGTGGGTCAAACAGAGTGACGGATTAAGCAGGCATGGCTTGAGGGTGTCTTCATCACCCCTCAGTTCCTGGTTGCATGAGACGTATGTCCACTGCTGAAGCACCTTGCCTTGTAATCTGTCCTGGCAGCCGTTTCTCCTGACACTAACACACATGATTAAGGTGTAAAAGTGCAGTGAATGGGGAACAAACACACACCCTGTTTGACTGTCCCTTGCCCAAGTGACTGCACCGCAGAGGACAGAGCTGGACAAATGAGGACAGGAACTAGGTCAGCAGCAGATTCCCTGAGGCTCTCCAGCATCGTTTGCCAGCCACAGAAAATGAACCCTTGAAAGTGCAATGGCAGGGGGTCCCTGGCAGCACGTCACACCCCTACTGCCTCGGCCGGGAGGGGAGGTGGTGTAAGGGATTCCGTGTGCTGCAGAAATGCAAGTGTGAGGGGAAAGGGCAAATTCAGAAACTCCTAATGTAGACCAGAGCGTGTTTATCTTCAGTCTTTGTGCAAGCAGGTTTCACTCTTTGCTCAGCATAGGCAAGAGAGATTAACCATAGTCAGCTTTTTTCTTGATCAAACCAAAGTAGGTTCAACCACCAGCAGAGTCTGAGGGTTTGGGGCTGGCTGAGCTTTAGTTTACTGTAGTCAATTAAAAGACTCCAGTTCTCTTAAGCAGGTACTTTGTTTTGCTTCACAAGAGGGTGAACCAAAATCCAGATTCCGGGAGCAACAAATTCCAAAGAGCTTTGGTGCTGCCCTCAGTGCCCTTCTCAAGGTGACGGTGTCTGGCTCTGATGCTGGTGAACTGTTAAGCACAAGGTTACAGTGACAGGTGATAGGGTGCGAGCTCTACAGGGAGCATTTGGTGGTTTAAATTAGCCAAGCACGAGCTAGTTGTTCTGACTTTTTTTGTTTGTTTTTGATATACTGTTACGGAAACTATGTATTTTTCTAAAATTGAATTTATGCAAAGAGCTTTGCTGGAACCTATTGGAATTAGGTATGCATTTCATGCCAAGGTTTGCCAACAAAGTCTGAAATCCACCGAGATATTTGGGCCTCTAAATCTCATTGAAATAAAGGGAGGTTAGACATCAAACTCCTTTTTGAGTCTGGCACCAAATCTGCTTTGACTCCTTTCCCCGTTGTGACCTTTTCATAGCGGCATGTAATTTGGGGGTTATGTTACAGCAAGATGCTTCTACCTTAGCTGTGCTTGCCTCCTTTCTCCTGCAGAACTCCCGCTACCAGACGTACCAGCGGATGTGGAACTACATGTACTCCAAGCAGCCAAGTGTCTTCGTGAAGAGCACGGAGGAAGGGATCGCACGTGTGCTGAACTCCAATTACGCCTTCCTGCTGGAGTCCACCATGAACGAGTATTATCGTCAGCGCAATTGCAACCTCACGCAGGTCGGGGGCCTTCTGGACACCAAGGGCTACGGGATTGGCATGCCCGTCGGTAGGCAGTGAAGAAAAATTCTAGTCCTTCTCAGCTGTCGGCAGAGGACCGGAGCATTTGAAAGGCTGAACCGGCTCTAAAGCCAATGTCACGTTTCACAGCTCTGCCCAGGGTCGTTTTTAATCTCAGGAGGAAAATCAAATACATTGCAATTGCCCAAGGTGCACGCTCAAAGCCAGGTGTACAAGATCCTGCTGTGGTCCAGAGCCATGTGACACGCGACTGCGGCTCTTTAAATAATTCATGTGAAAGATGTTTCAAAATTGCTGCTTATTTTCTGCATATATGCTCTTTGCTGACTGTTTCCCTTTTGAACCGGTGTTTTTGAACCATTTTATGCTCCTTGTTTTATCTCAGAAGTGCTGTAAAAGTAATGCTGTTGCAACTCTTGTAGTTTTTAGCACAAGTTTCTTAACAGCTGACTGTTCTTAAAACTCCAGGACAGAGATTTGGGCAATTCAGTGACCATCTCGGCTAATAATCAGGTTTAACAAATGCAGGGGTTTTGTCTTTCAAACGAGAGAGCTAGCAAGAGAACATCATCTCCCAGGGTAGCACAGAAAAAGGACGTAGTAGTTGTTATTCCAAGCAATCGACTGATCTTTCAGCCAGTCTCGCAGGCTCGGGAAGCCTTGTTCCTGACCTTTAAGCACCTGCACTTAGCAATACAAAGTTAAGGTGAGTTACAGAAGAATTGTCACACAAACAGCCACTATCGTTTAGCTAACATGCGTAAGCTTGTAAAGTCACAGTAACCTGATTGTGAGTACAAATCCTTACGTTCAGGACTAAATTTGTTCTGACATTGTCTTGTTAAACAGTGAAACTGTAGCAGATAAGAAGAGCAGAAAGCTGCTCGCTGGGACAATAGTGCAGAGTTACCAGGAGAACTACGGTCTTTCCCACGACCCTTCTTCGGGATCTCTGGTAGCAGACATCATCAAGACTGCAGTAGAACTCAGAACCAGGCGCAGAAATGAGCCTCCTCTACCATGAACATTTGGGCTTGCATGCAGGTTGGACTTGCTGCTGTCGCAGTGCACCAGTTTGAGGGAAGGACTGCTAGAGCAAGGTTGAAGTTGGAGGCAGATTGACAGGAGGGGGACCTCAGTGGTCTGGAGGAGCAGCAGTGCAATACTGAACTGCCTGTTCAGACCTTGGCCCTGAAGCCAAAGCTCCCCCTTGTAACGGACCTCTTTGAATGGCCTATGTGGGTCTTGGTGGACAGGAAGAATTACCATCTGCAAATGGCATTAACCAGTTGACAGTCCCAGCAGGGAGGCTGCAGGTTTCAAGGGCTGACATGGACTGAATTCCCTTCCAAACCATTCAGAGATAAGCTTTTGTGGTTGGGCACACTGGCAGGGCATCGTGGCGGGGATGAGTGGGGAGGAGGGCTGGCTGAGGCGTTGCCTTACCACATACCTCTTGATGTTGCAGGCTCTGTGTTTCGTGACGAGTTTGACTTGGCTATTCTCCAGTTGCAAGAGAACAACCGCCTGGAAATCCTGAAGCGGAAGTGGTGGGAAGGAGGCAAGTGCCCCAAAGAGGAGGACCACAGAGCCAAAGGTGAGCCACGCCGCTCTCCGGTAACGTGCTGAAGAGACCAGGCAGTAGAAGCATCCTTGCCAGCAACGCAAGGATGAACATCCATCTGCACATGAGCGCTGCCAGGTTTTCTGCCTGAGAATTACTTTTTCCCCTTCTTCTGACCTGAGATTCCTTCCTTCACAATTCAAGGAGAAAGCCAAACAACTCTGCTGTGCCTCATGCTGTGTGTTTTTGCCTGAGGCAGAGAAAGCGGGAACAACCAAATGACAAATATTGGAGGCATATGGAGGGTAAATTAGCTTCTAATGAATGTCTGGGAAAATGGATGGCTAAAGGGATCAGACCAAAATCCTGGGTTCCTTCAAGGGAGAAGGATCTCCACCACAGGCCCGCTGGTTAATGGCTTCAAGTGAAAGCGCCTTTTAAACAGCCAGGGTAAGGGACACAAGGACTTTATTAGTACATCTGTAAACTGAGGAGCAAATTCTTTTGGGTAATGCTATGCAAATTGCCATAAAAGCTACCACATTAGGCTGATGTCCCAGCATGAGAGCAGTTGCCAGCTTAACGCGGTTGCTGCATTTTTTAGTTTTGGCAGTCATTCTCTCCTCAGCAAGCGTTTTCTGGGAGGCCAGCAGGTTCCCCAGTTGAAAGGACAGTCTTCTGACCTTTCTGAGCGCAGAGACAGAAAGCTAAGCCAGGTCCATGGTAGCTTTTTTGTTTTCTTATCATTGCAGCAGGTGTAGGTGTGTGTGTCTGTGCAGTTCATGAGCTAGGCTGGATGAGACCCCACGGGGACTGTGAGCCGGTGTTCCCTGTTGGGCAGTGCTGCACTGCAGGCAGCCCAGGCTGTTAGTCTCGAGATGGAAGTTGTTGGCCCAGTGTAAGACATCAGGCCTCAGGGCAAAGTGATAAGCTATTAAAGAGGTTACTTTCGAAGGTGAGCAGGCACATGGGAGTCTTTTCCTCCCTGGACTGTGCAAAAAGCAATTCTGAAGTGGAATGTAGTCTGTGGGCTGTTTTGAGATGGCTTTGGAAGGGGACGGCTGGGAAGCATGTTCCTGCGCTGTTTCTGGCACTAGCTGGCATGCTCTGTGACCCTGGACAAGTTTTCCTGCTGTTTTTTGCCCTCTGTCATGACTCACTTTGTCAGTTTAGAAAATGAGGAAGGCTGGAGCCTGCTGGTATGTGTATATGGAAGAAGGAAATACCTCTCAGGTGAGCTTGGGATTGGGTGTCTGAGGTGGCACCCAGGCAGAATGACAGAAAGATGTAGCGAGAGGTACTGGCCCTAAATTCAAATTTGAGAGCTGCTGAGAGGAGCAGATGGCCTTTATCTCGGGTCTAAACTGTGATTATGGGCTGTGTTTTCTGCCCTGCAATTGCTGTCTTAGTGGAAACATCTCTACGAAGGGCTGATTTACAGAGTCGCTAGATTGCTCCGGAGAGCCTAAAGAATGGCGGAGGAGGAGGGAGAAATGTGACCTCCGAAGTTTTAGAACAAAACAGGTCAGCGATTTACAAGGATTTTGGTGAGATTTTATGTCTAAAAGCCACGCAGAGATTAAGTCAATAAATCATTGATTCTTACACTTTGATTTAATGCTACAGACAGGAGAGGAAGATTTTTATAGATGTTCTTGTTGAGTAATGGCCTCATACAGTCACCTCAGTGCAAAGCACTGCATGCTTTTTAGTAATCAGTCCAATCAGAGGCCCAGTCCACTTGAGACCCAAACCCACCAAGCACAGGAGAGAAGAGCCGTTTCTCGTACAGCATGTCCTGAGGCTGGCACTGCTCCCCGGCTCCTCTCACGGTCTTGTTCTGCAGGGCCGAATGGAGGCACAGGCTGCAGTTTTGGGGACAGGGGTCATGGTGGGAAGCGAGGTGACAGCCTCAGCACACGGAAAGCTCAGGCCAGGTTCCTGAGCCGTGGATTTTCCTTCTAACTGGTGAGCTTTCTGGGGTGCAAGCTCTGTAGGACACGGCTGGCAGCTGCCGTGCGTGCAATTTAGTCTCTTCCCTAAGCGAAGCTGTCTGCATACGCGGCATTTGGCCCGCGGTGGCTCGATGGCTCGTACCTTGAGATGACTCAAGATGGTAGTCATCCTGTTGTAAGCAAGTTGTCCAAGGGAGGTGAGATGAGTCATCCCATGGAAGGGGCTGTTTCCTTCTCATGGGCCAGAGGGTGCTGGGCAGAGAGCGCCCAACCTGTAACCAGGTACCCCTGGGTGGCAGGCACCCCATTCGGTCACCATCTAGTGTGAAACAGTGTTGAGTCCTGGTCTTGTTTGGAACCTCTCCTTGCTATTGCAATACAAGCGGCTGTAATTGTTTTTCACCAGCGCTTTATAGTGCAATCAAAGGAGTTTTTCTTGGTGCCGGCTTTCTTTAAAGCGGTTTGTCTTCTTCATGTCTGCTTCTTTAACAGCATTGCTCATCTTCCTTTGCAAAGTTCAAAGCAACTAGAGCTGGGTGAATAATTTGCAGGGATTAATGTGCCCGATTGATCTCTCATTTTGTCTCCTGTTTTCAGTTTGTCCACAAATTGCTTTGTTCTTCCCTCCAATGTACTTTCTGTTTATCTGCAAAATCATCATTTCTGAGAACGTGTCTTCGATCGTGCAGTTATTGCAAGTCATTCAGTTTGCCATCTGAGTCATGCAGTTAGCTATTAATAGGACAGTGCTGGCTATGTGTTTTTGGTCCCTGGCTGCGTATATGCAATGCCAAATAAACAGCAAAGAGTTGGGATTTCTGTACAGCGATGCTTGCAACTTACGTTGTGTCCGCCTCTCTACAGCATTGTGTCTTCTGCTTTATTTCAGGCCTGGGAATGGAGAACATTGGTGGAATCTTCGTGGTTCTCATCTGTGGCTTAATCGTAGCAATTTTTATGGCAATGCTGGAATTTTTGTGGAGCCTTCGGCACTCTGAACAGTCAGAGGTAGGACCTGAAAGTGTCGTGAGGGGATAGTGTGTGTTTATTGCTATCTGCAGGATGCTCAGCAGTGCAGTGCTCTGGAGCAAGTAATGCACTCAGGCTGAGATGAGCGTTCCTAGTAATGAGACTTCAAATGCACGAGAAGGCTGGGTGCCTTGGGCAGGGTCTAAAATGCACAAGCTTCTCATGCACTCCTACTAAGATTGAGGCTGTAGGGATGGTCCAAGGGCTTCTGAAGGGATGGAGGATGTGTACAATGTCCAGGTACCTTTCCTGGAGATAAGCTCACGTGCGGATTTCTACCAGCAATAGGTTTGGGTCTCCTGGTGATTTGGGGATGCAGAACACAGGAGGGTCTCTGACAAGAGGCAGAATCTGTTGGGCTAAATGAAGCATAAATGTCCGAGCATTGGCGTCAAAAACCAGTGGCCAGATTAACGACCGAGTCCATAACACTTTGGCATCAGAATTCAGAGCAGACACAGCGCTGCTGGGCTCGCAGCTTACTTAGGTGAGCAGTATGTCTCGGGTCTGCCTTCCAGGTGTCGGTGTGCCAAGAAATGGTGACGGAGCTGCGCAACATCATTCTCTGCAAGGACAGTTTCCACCCTCGTCGGAGGCGAGGGGGAATGGTACGGACTCGCCCCGTTATCCCAGAGGAGCGCCGAGCCCGCAGCACAACCACGCTCAGCAACGGGAAGCTGTGCAGTGGGGGCGAGCCAGATCCCCTGGCACAAAGACTGGCACAAGAAGCTGCCCTGGTCGCCCGAGGGTGCACGCACGTCCGGGTGTGCCCCGAGTGCCGCAGGTTTCAGGGCCTCCGAGCACGGCCATCTGCGGGCTCGCCCGCACAGAGCGAAGAGAGCTTGGAGTGGGAGAAGACCACTAACAGCAGCGAGCCCGAGTAACGCTGGGCAGGGGGTGTTGGGGTGGGCCGAGAGGGTCCTGTTCCATTTTACAGAACACGGACTTGTACAATGTCAACTCGTTTTTAAATTAAAAGCAGTTACCCAGCTTCTCCAGAGCAAGGCGGACCTTTGGGCTAACGCGCAGGCCTGGCCAGAGGGTTGGCTTTGGTTTCGGCGTGCGAGAGGATGCGCGTCTCGCTGGAGCCTGCCACAGCAGGAGTGCGGTCCTCTGGCTGGCCTGTCTCCAGCGGTTGTCTCCATGCCACCGTGCGGCCCCCAGGCGGGGAGGGGGGAGATGGG